TTTGTTGCATGGTTAATGCGTGTAAAATATCTGAAAGGAACTTAAGAAACCCCGAAATTTCCGTTTAAATTGAATTTTAATATTGTTGCAATTGTATAATGTACAAAGTGTTCTTGGTATTTTTTACGAAAAAACAAAGTGTCCAGATCATTATAGCTTCACTGTCTTTGTCGTCACGTTTCTACTAAAACCCATCATCTTTGATTGCACCCGGTATGTACTATATATTATATATAGACCCTTTCAGTATTTCATTGAAAGTATGACATGCTGGCTTATATTGTAACAGTGGTTGGCAGACCATTAAATATGACAGCCCAAAGTAAGAGTCATCAAAAAGTTTTCTCAAAAATGGGCACATCACCACAATTTTTAGTCAAAATTATTCTTAGCAAATTCAAACCTTTTTTTATTGGTAATATACAACAAAGACTTGCACTGGGACTCTTCACCTTAATATCAAACGGTCAGGCAACCATGACCACCATCATGGTACAAACACCATGACGTCTGTATACTTTACCATAATTGTCACCAGTTTGAACAGCTTTTTAGGTTACCTGACCATGGGTCATGGTAACCTATTGTGATGGCCTTTTGTCCGTCGTCGTCCGTCGTGTGTAAACTTTTCCTTGTGAACACGATAACTTCAGTATATGTTAACCAAGTTTGATGACACTTTGTATGCAGCCATATATCAATAAGATCTCGGACGAGTTCGAAAATGGGAATTATTGGACAGTAACTTACAGAGCCAAAGCCACTTTGTAAGTTGTGGTCAACTTGGTCCGGTATTCAAACTCATCCAAGATCTCATTGATACAAAGCTGCGTACAAAGTTTCATCAAAATCAGTTCATATTTACTGAAGTTATTGTGTTCACAAGGAACAAATTAATGGACGATGCAGCAAGGTCACTCGGACCGACGAAAAGTATGAATTGGCCCCTAGATGACAGTCCTAATTTGAATCGGATGTCAGGTGACCGTTTAGGCCCATGGGCCTCTTGTTTGTATTTTGTTTCATTAAGTGGGAAGCCAACCACACTTACAGTTAAGCATGTATACGTATGTAAAGATACATACAGAAAGGGTCTATATCTCCTCTAAATCACCAACTCTCTTTATTTTGTGATACACTGTGAAATCATTAATTTTTGTGGGGTTTTTAATTTCGTGGGTAATCTTCATCTACCAATTCATAGGGCCACAAAGCAATTCTCCGTTTCAATGGGAACTCATAATCCATGGAATTCATGTACCCACGGGTTTTGTCGGGAAACCAAGAAATTTTTGCCCTATGAAAATATCTGATTTCACAGTACATGTTTTTGCATGATGACTCCATGACGAATTTGAATATATCACTGTGTATTTATATAACTATGTAATTAAACATGTAGAGTTGATGGCTAGTTCAAATGTTTCTATAGTATACACTTTTGTAGTTAATCATAATGTATTTAAATAAATCGAGATCAACCTTCATGAAATAACATGTATATCTCTGCCTTATGCTTGTTCCTGAGAATCAGTATTTTGAAAAATAAGTATGCATTTTTAGGTCACCTGAGCTTTAGCTCAAGTGACCTATTGCTATCCGTCTTCGTCCGTCGTCGTCCGTGACCTATTGCTATCCATCTTCGTCCGTCCGTTAACATTTTACGTTTCAAACTTAAAGTCAAGTTCTGCTGGGCCGATTGAACTGAAAGTTTGTAGGAATGATCAACTCATGGTCCTGACAAAGTGTTGTTATTTTTCGGGTCGATCAGAAATCCAATATGGCCGCCATTTTGATAAACTATTTCAAACTTAAAGTCAAGTTCTGCTGGGGCGATTGAACTGAAAGTTGGTAGGAATGATTGACTCATGATCCTGACAAAGTGTTGTTATTTTTCAGGTCAATCAGAAATCCAATATGGCCACCGTGGCCGCCATTTTGAAAAACTATTTCAAACTTAAAGTCAAGTTCTGCTGGGGCGATTGAACTGAAAGTTGGTAGGAATGATCGACTCATGGTCCTGACAAAGTGTTGTTATTTTTCGGGTCGATCAGAAATCCAATATGGCCGCCACGGCCGCCATTTTGAAAAACTATTTCAAACTTAAAGTCAAGTTCTGCTAGGCCGATTGAACTGAAAGTTTGTAGGAATGATCGACTCATGGTCCTGACAAAGTGTTGTTATTTTTCGGGTCGATCAGAAATCCAATATGGCCGCCACGGCCGCCATTTTGAAAAACTATTTCAAACTTAAAGTCAAGATCTGCTGGGCCGATTGAACTGAAACTTGCAATTATACTTAACTATTTTTTACTCAAATTGGTACATATATCAACAACAAAAATAAATACTGTAGGACTCAGGTGACCGTTAAGGCCCATGGGCCTCTTGTTACATATACGTTTACATAAGAATGTAGTCAAAATTTATGGTAAAAGGAAGGGAGGCAACTTGTGATAAATACAAACTTTGTTTCTGAGATAAATATTTTGTTCTGTTTTTGAGATATCAACATTTTTTGTTTGTTTGTTATATATCTGTATAGTTTATGAAATTTGCTGGTTATAAAAACAAATTATGATCATCAAAATGCTGATTTCTGAGGAATATGGCCCCTAGGGTTTCATGAATGTTCCTTAACTGAGAAAATTTCTTACGATTTTCCACAGGATAACACTGCTGAAGTTATGAAGAAAAATCTTAAATTAAGGATTTTTCCTTTACTTCTGTTATGTTTTCCTATAAAAAAATTAAGTTAAGGTCAAGGTTTATGAGCCTCAGCTTTACTGCCACTCAATTCTCACCACAGCCACCTTACCCCATAGATAGACAGTCAGGTATTAGCGATTACTTTATCCTGACGACTTTATCCTCTATGATGGGCGAATTATTATTTACCGCTTCGCAGTATCCTTGTTTGAACATTAAACAGCAGCTGACCACTCAGCTATGAGAACTGATTTAGTTTATGCTGAAAATTTTGTTAGATTTCAACAGAGTCCTACCTTATCCCATTTTGTTAAAATATTAATTCCAGAGAGCATCAAAATATTAAATTCACGACCGTTGTATGAGGTCTATTTACACAAATGCATCTCTACAAATGATTGATGTTAAGATGAAAATATTAAATGCATTGCCATCTTATTCTTCCGAAATAATAAACATCTATACAATGTAGTTGCACTAACACAGTCCCAGTAATTCTAACACAGGACAGATGTAGCTGACAATATGATGGCAATCTCATTTAATTATTTCACTGTTATTTTTCAAATTTCTCCAAACCATAAGGATTACTCTTGAAAGGATTTATACAAACTCGATAAGATGTTTTTTCCTGGAGTGAATTTTGTTAGGTTCTTTTTTTCAATCATTCATGGCAAACATTCCATTAGAAATGTTTACCCATACTACCAGGCAGTAAAATTCTGCTATGTACCAGTTTCTGCCCGTGAATAGAAATCCCTATAGTATAGAATTTGGATGCCTGCAATGACAAATTGATTTGCTTTGTATGTATGTTAATTTGGAGTTCATGTATTAAGATACTGCAAAGTCCTGACATACTGCCCCTTGTTTCTATAAGCCTATTTTCTTTGTAATTTGGTTATATCCCTTGCTAAAATGTTGAGCCCCTGATTGCCATCTTAGAGAAAAAAATGTTGCCAGTGAATGGAGTCAAATGTGGCAGTATAAAGAAATTTTACTGTATTTGGAATCATGAAGGATGTGATAAAACACTTGTTTATTGACCAACTGTATAAAAGTTGGACAAATTGTGAAATGTTTTTTCTGAATGCTTATTTGCTTTTTAGCTCACCTGCCCAAAGGGCAAGTGAGCTTATGTCATGGTGCGTTGTCTGTCGTCGTCCGTCAACTTTTCCTTTAAACAACTTCTTCTGAAGAACGAACAGGCATAGAGCCATGATATTTGACTGAAAGCTTCCTTGGTAGGAGCCCAACAAGGTTTGCGAATGAAAATGACCTTGACCTACTTCCAAGGTCACAGGGGTCAAATATGTCAAACTCTTTAAACGACTTCTTCTGAAGAACCAAATGGTATAGAATCTTTATATTTGGCTGGTGGCTTCCTGGGATAGAGCCCGACAAAGTTTGAGAATGAAAATGACCTTGACCAGCTTACAAGGTCACAGGAGTCAAATATGTCAAACTCTTTAAAGGACTTCTTCTGAAGAACTAAAAGGTATAGAACCTTCATATTTGGCTGGTGGCTTCCTTGAATAGAGCCCGACAAAGTTTGAGAATGAAAATAACCTTGACCTACTTTCGAGGTCACTGGTCAAATATGTCAAACTCTTTAAACAACTTCTGAAGAAGAACTGAAAGGTGTAGAACCTTCATATTTGCTGTGTGGCTTTCTGAGATAGAGCCCGACAAAGTTTGAGAATGAAAATGACTTTGACCTTCTTCAAGGTCACAGATGTCAAATATGTCAAAAACTTCAAGCGACTTCTGGAAAATCGAAAGGCATAAAATTATAATATTTGGCTAGTGGCTTCTTGGAATAGAGCTCACCAAAGTTTGCAAATTAGAATGACCTCAACCTACTTTAAATGTCACAGAGGTCAACAACATTTCAAAGGATTTGTTCTGAAGAACCAAAAGGAATTAATTCAAAAGATTTGGCTGGTAGCTTTTTGGGATAGAGCTATAAAAGTTTGAGAAGGAAAATGAATTGACATACTTACAAGGTCACAGGGAAAAATATGTCTTGAATATACATGACTTTTGAAGAAGAACGATGGCAACAAAGCATAAAATCTTATAATAGTACTTGACAGGTAGTTTCAATAGATGGAGCCAACAAAGTTTGCGAGTGACAAATTTGTAGTACAATATAATATTTAATGAGAATATTTGCTATGACTGCTTAAATATTCAGTTGAGCGATACAGGCACTCTTGGTCATTTTAATGGTCCCTGATCTTGTTTAATGTTTATTTCGGCGATGCTAACATTTCTTAATCTTTCTATAAGTTTGTACAGGAAGTTACCAAAGTCTGAAAGTCTCGAAAAAGGCAGCCAGGAATTTAGTGACAGCGTTGATTTAACCTTGGTGGAGCACAAGACGCCTCTTCTGGATGTAAAGGCAGAAATGGTGTGAGGAGGTGGAGATGACCATAGCAACGTGCAATTGGATCCCACTTGTTGCCATAGCAACAGAGTGAGTTTACCATGCACTTGGTACAGATTCAAAAATGAGAATTGTGACACTTTTATTGAGCATAGGGACGATACTAATATAGGTTAGAAAAAAAAATGTCTAATTAATAGTGTCATGTAAAATCAACCAACTTAATGTTGAGAGTAACAAATTATTGGTCATCTACTGATTATTACAGACCACCCAATACAGTACACACTGAACAGTTATCAAGTTTATAGGGACCACCACTAGTCACCACTAGTCACAATTGGTCTTTGAGCTAATGTACTTTTGTTTCGCTTTTAGACTTAGCTCCAGGAGCTGTAGCTTCTAGGCCCGATTGTTTATAATTTTTGTCCAATCATAAAAAAAAATGAAAACAATTGGGCAGAGAAGCTATGGTTCCCGCCGCTACGTTAGGCCTTACGCAATGAGTTATTCTAGACGTAGACAAATTGTTTAACTTTGTACATGTACATTGTTGACTAAAGAGACGGTGTTTACTTTGTGTTGTTGACCAGGACAACATTACACAAGTACTGTATGTGTGCCTTGATCTGGTTAAACATAGGTTCACATGGGTGACAAATTATATGAAATAACATACATGTAAGATATGAGTAATGTTTTCAGACTTGTATAGAAAAATATAGTTGTAAATTATAATCTGTTGGTCGTTTAATATTTGAATCTGCTTTTGATGTAGAAAACATTGATCTGTGGTATGCTAATTATAATTTATTATCAATGTTTTATTTAAAGAAACACAGAGTATCTACAGTAACATTTGTCATAGCATTAAACCTGTTCTCATCCTGGGACCACCATATATCGTATATTGAGATATAATTCCAAATGGACGTTTGCAATTTTATGTGAAAGTATTGCATTTTGTGCCATAAAATTTAGTATTGTTTTCATGATTTTGTTAAATTTGATGTAATTTCATACTTTTGTTAATCTGTAAACTAAGCATTTATGAGGACTTGAAGAAACTCAAAATGAAAATGTTGAATTAATTAATTAGAGCAAATGATCTGAAGATTTTGAACTTCTTCATCACCTCTCATTTCTCAAAGTAATGAAAAATATAGCTGTATACATAATATATACTGTAAAACCTTGTTATACTGCCACCCCATATCTAGAGAAAAATTGGCATGATAGAGAGGTTTGGCGATAAATTGAGGGAAATGTAGAAAGGAATTCTTGAGAAAACAAGAAAAGGGGACATTGAAATATGTTGGAGATAAACGAGGAGGCAGACGAAATGAGGGGCAGTATATCGAGGTTTCACTGTAATTAATTTAATACAATAGTTTTGTATATTTCATTTATGGACATTGAAAAATGTTGGCAGTAAACAAGGAGGCAGACGAAATGAGGGGCAGTATATCGAGGTTTCATTGTATGTCACAAATTAATTTTGTGATTATATGTACTGTAGTACATGTTTCTGTCATAACTACCACAGGTTTCAACACTGCTAGCCAGTGGTTTACTACATACAGGCAGGCACAATGTGTTAACACAATACGGTATGGTGTCACACTGTCATCGTTTAGAAGTGAAACAGAATATTCAACTCCTGATGATTAATTTATGATTTATATCTACTGTTTTGAGAAGTTGAGAATTCACTTGCTATAATGGGGATGTTTATCAATTTCAGACTTGTTGGGGTGAATATTATACAGTTATGAATATATGGTTATAGGGACCCGTAAATGATGGAAGGTAAGAAAATCGTCACGAGAAAAAATCATTGCATTGGGCGGTGAGCATTGTGACAGTATATTCAAACTGATGTCATAAATAAAATAATAACCTTTGGTTTCTAAAAATAGTAACACTAAGTCGGCGCATGTATCACAAATCAACAACCTGTACTCAATTATAATCTATTACAAACGAGGAATCGGGAGGGGGAATATGATATCTAATGTAAATTATTATAATTGATCATAACAAGTTGGATATTCGGTATATATCATATTGAATTGTGCTAAAACATACATCAAGCAATTCACATGTGTACTGATATGTTGAGCCTGCCGTTTGCTGATGTAATTTTACAGGGTCAGTTTTCATAATTATTAATAGTTATCATCCCTAACTCATCCTATCAAAGAATCACTTTTGAGTATCGTATTCAGATGTCTGATGCTACTGTTGAGTTTATGAGCATAACACAGCAATCTAAGTAAATTCTTGCTATACCAGACACAATTCCTGACAAATAAATTCTTACCAGACATAGATAAATGACTTCTTACCAGACATATTCACAAACGTATAATTAACCTGTAATACTGAACATCATGTCTCCCCTAATCTCCGGTTTATAAGCTCTATATATATATGTCGCAACAGAGACAATCATACTGTTCCCTCCGATGTCTGTTAAGTCAGGTTTCGCTATCGTTTTCATACAATCAAAGGGGACATAACTTTGAAATTTCATTTGATGAATAGTATTATACATCATTTGCTTATTTAAGTTTATAATGGAGGATTTAAGTCGGATGCTTTGACACGATGTTCTCTGAAGTCTTCAACAGTTGTTTGTTTGTTTGTTTGTTGCTAGTATACTGCCTTTTATTGCAATATTTTACATCCAGGATAAATTTGTAATTTTGTTTATCAACTATTTAATCTAAACTTACATCTTTTATCAAATGGCTTCTGATCATATTCAAATGGCTTATGGCATTTTATAGGCTCTTGTTAGTGTCCACATGACTTATGGCTGGTCAGTTTCATTTTGATGTCCACACGAGGATAACAAAAAGCATTGATAAGACTTTGTATGTAGTTACAGGCACAGGCGTGAGAATGGTTATAGACATGGTATGGTATGGTACAGACACAGGTGTGAGAATGAAAGCGTTGAAGAGTACAATAATTTTTCTCATTTATCAAATCATTGGTTTATCTTAAAACACAACATGCCACACATGGTTTTGTTTTTGTGTTGTTTTGTAATGAATGGCTTCGTACTCGCAAATTAATATTTATCTCCTAGTACTCGGGTTACTCAAATTTTAATTGGCAACGATATTTTGTGTATCAATTTGATATACTACAATGCTTATTTAACATTTGTATGTTTTTAAGAATAGTAGTTATTCTCATCACGTACAGTTGAATACATCATTATTCAGGGTCACTTTTTTTAGAAGAATTTTTTAACTATTTTTTGATAAATTAAAATGAAAGTCAGACGCACTGTAATTGATGTGGTTAATTAACTTATTCACCCCTGACTTTTCATAATGAACTATTCCAACCTTTGAACTGGAAGAGTTCAAATGTGTCTTCAGGGTGAATGAGTTAAATAGCCGTTTGATGCGAGGGGAAATAACACGTTCTATGAAATAGAAGAGGAGGTATTAAAGGAATATAAGAAATGTCTATATATATAAGGCTTGAATTTCTTAATTCTCTGGTTCCATTTTTTCTCTGAAATTACTTAATATAAAATCAACTTTATTTTCCATGGAATATCATAACCATGTAGTTTAATACATGTACCTGTTACCCACCTTTACAGAATTTATTGATGGGAACAAACATAGCGCTGATGGAAACTTTATGGCAATTTTTGGTGTGCAACTTATTTAAGAAAAGTGGATAAAGAGGGTTTTTTTTATGTGTTAAGTACAAAAGTTGAATAAAATTCATTAATTTACGTAAATGTGTTGTTTTATCAAATTTCTTACTACCCTGTATCCATCCTAATTTAGATGATAATTAGCCTGTAGTTTACACGGATGTGGGGCTACCACACTTATTTAGGTAAATGACCTTGACCAGCCTTTAAGGTTACAGATGTCAAATATGAAACAAGGGGTCCAGAAGCCTGTAGGTATACAGTAGACAGGAACAGGTAATTTACGCGATTGTATATTTTCGCAATTTTGAGCCATAATTTCACAATCCAGATATGTGAAGGAACAAAAAAAATCTTGGTGTTTTAGCACATCGACGGGACAATCAGCATATATAATCTATTTTCAAACAGTAACAACCAAATGCACGCTATTTAATGACAACATTACATAACTTTATGACCAGAGGATGAGGTCATATGGAGCATTTTTGTGCTCTTCATGCCAAGCGATTGTAGATATACAGTTATATTGGTGGGATCTGATTCATTTCCATGTAATGACCAAGGGACTTAGTCATTAGGGGCGGGGCCAGACCTTTGAGTTATTTCTGATAGCATGACTGTTTGTATCATTGCATTACACGTGTATATGGTTATGGAATAAGGATCTTACTCTTCCTCCGTTATGACCTAGGGACTAAGTTCCCTAGGATTGGGCCAGACCTCGGGACCATCCTGTTTGCATATGTCTATCCAAATTGTTCACGCTCAGCAATTGTTTATATTAGTGTGGGGTGGAGTTCTCAACATTTCCATGTCACGACCCAAAGACCTGGTCCTTCAGAGTGGGGGCAGATCTGCAGGGCAATCCTGGTAACATACAGTTGTACGGTTAAAGGGTGAGAATTTCAACCAATTCCATGTTTTGATTACCCCGGTACTCCTCATTCCTGGCAGGTTAAGCCACCAGTGGGATCACTCCTGGTTGACAATCTGTATTGGCCTGTTCATGCCCAGCAAGGGGGTCAGCTCCTTCTTTTGTACAAATGCGAACCATCATCACCTCAAGATGTTTCCAAACAAATCTGGTGAAATTCCATTCAGTGGTTCATCCGAAGAATTTATTTTGGGAAACTGTTGAAGGACAGACAGATATCCAAATGCATCATAAGCTTCAAAGAAGTTATGTGCAGTAAGAAACGTAAAGACAAATATCACGTAGAACAAAATACAGTAGAGGCTTGTTTGTCAGCTGATTTTTTTGTATCAAAATTCTTTAATAATATGACTCATACTACATAATTGTATGATGAAAGAAATTTGTATCACATTTAGACATTAACACAGAACATTAGTTATCATATGACACATGGTTTTAAAGTGAATGGACAGTTTGTCGTAATTAGCGACAGTAACACAACATACTTATTTTTTCACGTAATACATAACACATTGTACGCAGATTAATATGACAAAGACTTAGAAGAACGCTAACTTTTTGGTTGTGTGTCTAAGTTCCTCCAGTAATGGATCGGAAGGGAAATTCTATGTTAAGCTCTTGATTGTTGTAATATTATTTAATATTTTTGTCAGTTTATTTTCGTTTTTTCATGCCCAGCTTTTCATACACCTACAAATTAACACCTGTTCAATAACTTATAAGAAATGTATGAAATACATTAAAAACATTATTTCAAAATGGAAGAAAACACATTCAGTTTTTACATTTTCTCATAAAAATATGATATCAATGTAAGTTAGTTCACTATGAACCCTTTTACCCCTTTGTCACTTTAATAGACTCTACCATAAAAATATATGGATGAGTCCATTATGGTCTACAGTGTTGAAAGCATTAATAACTTACATTGGATGACAGATTTATTTCTAAATTAATTGTCTTACATGTCATACCTTGTAATTGTTTATTCTAGCCATATACTGTAACGCTAATCTTTTCACCTTTCAAATTTTTGCATTCTGACGTTTTAAAACATATTCAATCAATGTTTAAATTGTCCTCCTATTCTTTTAGAACCACACAACTATGACTTAACACAATCGTTGCCTATGAAGTATGGAAATAAAATGAAACACATCTGCTGTTGACATCATCAACAAAATACAGTATGCTATTACACATTATAAATCAATTCATTTCATAATCATATTTTAAAAACTAATGGAGAACATTATTCAATTCCTACAGAATGCCAGCAGGTATATTTTCATTGTTTACTGGTATCTAAATAAATATTTGTGAAATAATGAAATTTTTGTGACTGACACTTCTCATAGATAAATGGGAAAACATAAATCTCACAGAAGACGATAATGGGATCTGATAATGTCAACTTCACTCATAATAAGTCACAAGTAAATCATGTGAGAATATACACAAATATTACTGAATAACAGTATGCACCAATAAATATCAGGTACATCTGATATTAAAACTGTAAAGGATAATTATGACTGATCATATACAATCAATAATTATGTACCTATTATATACAATCAATAATTATGTACTTATCATATATATACAATCAATAATTATGTACTTATTTTACTGATTGTATACTGCATACCAGGGAAATTTTGCTGTAGTTTAATTTTCACCTTTTTTGCCTCCGAAAGAGTCAATTAACATATTAATCAAAACTGAAAAGCGAAATTAACTCGGAGCGTATTTTGATTTTCCCAGGCGTAGGACATAGGTCTGACTGGCTATAATTGCCCGGTATACAATTTTGAAGCCAATCTAATGCCTTTTGAGTAAAAATGCCCAATTACAATTAATGATTAACATGCAATTACACTTTTCTTTACCTTTACACCACACAACTTACACATCAAAATGTTTGTGGAACTGGCTTTTTTCAGTTTGGTTATGACAAGTTATTTGAGACAAAAGATAAAGTTACTGTTATTCATGTTATTCCACAGCAGTACAGGGATATTTAACTGACAGTTAAACGTGACTAGAAACAATTTCATTTTGACACACAAAAATGGATCACTTCTCATTCTATACTCGAGTCTACCTTCTGTATTTACAGTTGATAACATACGGTTTTCTACATCCTGCTAACACTCCTAGTAAATCTTCTCCGGGTCTTCTATCACAACCTAACACCAAACTCCTTGTCATGCTAGAATCATGGCAAAAACATGGCTTCATTACATTTCAGACTTTTTCTATGTTTTACTGTACCATGAACAAACTAAAATTGTCTCTGAAATCCATAACATGTATTAGGTGAAGTTAGATAATTAATATGCATGCTTTTATTCAATTCTATCTACCGGTAGTTATATTTTGATTCAGGAAGAAAATTATGTTATTGAAGGAGTGCTACATGGTATAATTACAAGTATTCCTCAGCTATGAACAAATTATATATATTATAAATACTCAAAACTAGCTATTTTCTTAATTATTTTATTAAACATAAAATCAAACCAAGTCATTACCATATCTGCACTATCCCTATTTATCAGAAGTTGGGTCACAGCACAGTAATTGTCTTTTTTTTTTTCTTTTTTTTTTTTGTAAAATAGAAAAATGAACAAAGAACTACAATAAGAGGTTATTTTTAATCAAAAGTCATTAGGCAATGATATATGTTTCTGTGAAGTATAAATTGTTGTTACAAACATTCCATATACCCTGGCATTTATGGGGCAATACTAATACATGTACCTACATAATAACCTAGTGATAGGAGTTCTAGCTTTCTGAAGATAAAATACTGAAAGCTTACTAGGTACTTAACGTTGAACACAAGTTTCTTGATTTTCCTGTTGTGTATACAGACTATTATGCTACAAACAATACTGGTTAAACAAGGTTTTCAATATCGAAACCAATTTGAGCATTTCATTAATTATTATATGTAAAGGTATCTTGATTACCTCTTTTGTTTAAAACATGTTATTTACATCCAATTAATGTGTATACTGTTACTTATGATTGTGTCTATATAGTGTCTTTACGGCACTATGACCTGTCATCTATACCGTCAAATTAGCACTAGGGTTTCTACCATACCAGTAACAAGCAAATTAATAACAAAATCAACCTGGTAAATCTTGCAGTTCATTTTCTATTGACCCTTTCACCACTGTAGACCATAATGGACCTATCCAGATCAATGCATGGTCGAGTTTATCAAAGTTACATAGGGGTGAAAGGGTTAAGAGATAACCTTCAAAGACACTTCAAATGTTCCGGACAGAGGTACAGTATCAGTTATATATTTACCCAGGCACAGTAGTACCATGTTAGAAACAGGTTTACATGGCACGAAAACCTAAACAGGAATGTTCAATCTCATACTGACATTTATATCACTTCAGTCTGTCTTACACTGGGTGTGACATTTATATCACTTCAGTCTGTCTTACTCTGGGTGTGACATTTATATCACTACGGTCTGTCTTACTCTGGGTGTGACATTTATATCACTACGGTCTGTCTTATTCTGGGTGTGTGGGATACTTAACATCAGTAATGCTGCATGGAAACCAAATTTTCAAGATAGCATACACTAGGTCAAGGAGCCATACACAAGGTCAAGTTAGCATGCACAAGGTCACGTTAGCATACACAAGGTCAAGTTAGCATACACAAGGTCAAAGTAGCATGCACAAGGTCAAGTTAGCATACACCAGGTCAAGTTAGCATACACAAGGTCAAATTAGCATACACAAGGTCAAAGTAGCATACACAAGGTCAAGTTAGCATGCACAAGGTCAAAGTAGCATACACAAGGTCAAAGTAACATACACAAGGTCAAAGTAACATACACCAACATACACAAAGTCAAAGTAACATACACAAGGTCAAGGTAGCATTTACTTTGTCGAAGTACACATAGTCCAGGTAATACACACAGGATCACACTAACTAAATGGGAAAATATTTAGTTAATTGATTTAGGAAATCTTATATTAATGAAAAACATCTAATTTGTATACAGTACATACCAAAACCTTTAGATACTATCCATGTTTTAAAAATTGATAGGATGTACATAGATCTGACTACATTTCTACATGATTTCAGAGAGATTTGGTACTGTTGTACATATAAAACTGACCAGTCTTTGGTTATTACTTGTTGATTAAAACACACACATTTTGGTATGTTACTCCTACATCTGATTCTGTTATTGGTTCCTATCGTATGGTTTTACTGAACAACAGATATATACGTACAAGTAGCACATTTTGTATTGCTTAACACAAATCTACCCAAATATATGCACCAGTTGCAATTAATTGAATGTATTATATGTTTTTTTAGTATAAAAACTAAAATGTCTGGAATAAAAGTTAATGTGTGATATAACAAAAAAAAATGTTAACAAAAAAACCAACAAAAAACAGCCCTTATAATCAGGACCAGCAAAGAACTATACAGTTCAAAAAATTGTAAATATTTATATTACAAAGATGACATGAAGATATCCACACCCACTACACATTTTAAGTACATCCAATTAATGAGCAAAAATGACGAATTCTTTAGACTATTGGAATAATGATTATTACTGTATGGCAATTCATATAACATGTGATTCTAGTAAATAAGAAGGATTCTAATAGTTGATTTATTCAAAATACGATTCACACACATCTTATTCAGAAAAACAAAACAGTACCGGGTTATATCTGAATATTTTGTTTAGTACACTAAATATTGTCCGTTTCAACATTTACGAAATGTTACAGCGATTATACAGTCTTAGTTTAAAAAAAATTCAATCACACCGTAGTTCTATGAACCCTAACCATTCCATTACTTATTGACATATAACCTTATACGGAAATCTTCTCCCGACATTCACACCGTATACGTAGTTTCTTATATATTTGTCACGTGTACATCGAACAAGAGAGTAGTCTCTCATGAGACATCACTGATAATTCTGTTTGTACAGAATATACATCAGTTGGAAATTAACTGCAGAGTGAGGTAAACAGGAATAACAAGCCATATGGTTACCCCATGGTACTGAACACCAGTAAATCACAGTCACAGATACAGAAACAAAACGAACATCTACACGTAGTATTCTACAGTTTACACACACTCGAACATCTACACGTAGTATTCTACAGTTTACATACGCCGGCACATCATAGAACATCTACACGTAGAATTCTACAGTTTACATACGCCGACACATCACAGAAACAAAACGAACATCTACACCTAGTATTCTACAGTTTACACACACTCGAACATCTACACGTAGTATTCTACACGTTACATACGCCGACACATCATAGAATATCTACACGTAGCATTCTACAGTTTACATACGCCGACACAGCATAGTAGTATTCTACAGTTTACATAGGCCGACACATCATAGTAGTATTCTACAGTTTACATCCGCCGACACATCATAGAACATCTACAGATAGTATTCTACAGTTTACATACGCTGACACATCATAGAACATCAACACGTAGTATTCCACAGTTTACATGCGCCGACACATCATAGAACATCTACACATAGTATTCTACAGTTTACATACGCTGACACATCATAGAACATCTACACGTAGTATTCTACAGTTTGCATACGCCGACACATCATAGTATTATTCTACAGTTTACATACGCCGACACATCATAGTAGTATTCTACAGTTTACATACGCCGACACATCATAGAACATCAACACGTAGTATTCCACAGTTTACATACGCCGACACATCACAGTTTTATGGTCACAACAAACTTAATACAAATCACAACAACATTCCTGCTCCAAACTGTTCTGGTCCTTTATGGAGATTGCTGAGGTCGCCACACCCAAAACAACTCACTTTACAGTCTGATCTCGTAACAAATATCAGGAATAAACTAGAGATCTGACGACATTTTCCCACAAATTATACAGACATGGAGCAACCTAGTGTTTTTATATTACTGTGTTTTCATGAAAATCATTTACTATAATAACTGTGATCTAGGTTTAGTTATTTGTGAACTCATATTTCTCAACACAATTACAAGTTTTTCTTTCCAGAGCAGAGAATTTTTTTATGTGCTAGGGCCTCTCTCTCCGACAGTGATCAATAGTTCTACTACCTAATATTGGCAAGTAACCACAAGTACTAGTACTATAAGGTGATTGGAGGTAATGAGTTATTCATATCGCACTGGACATTGCCATCATAACAATTTCAGAAATTAACTGGATCAAATCTCCTTCAGTATATATGGCAACAAAATGTAAATAAAAAAAGATACAAATACAGGTAATAATCTGATACTTAATATGATTTTTCATACTTTTAACTATATTAACATGCAGTTATGTATATGATCTTGTAGTTCATAAAAAATTGTATGCTGTATTCTATGATGAAATGTGCTTATATTTTACAAACTGTTAATTTAGCCACTACTAATCTGGCTGTCCCTAGCTACTTTCCAGTTAGTTGTTCAGGAGACAAACTGACCTTACCCTTCCCCAGTAATCAAGAGGATACACAATCCCGCTGTTTTTACTGGGAATAAAGGTTGCTGAACTAGGAGTGTATTAGAAGATGGATAAAAATACATCAAAATTGCACACGGAACTAGAAGTTGTCTATAATTTTATGTATCCTGCCTGTGTGACCTTTGCACTTTGACCTTCCCTGATATTCGTGCTGGTATCACCAAACGTGAGCTCTGTCATCTTAAGATGACAGCTATTTAGATAACAAGTGACCTTAGTCAATTACCATATGACATTAATTTTATTTTAAACTGTTTCTTTTTTTTAACATTTTAATATAAATTCTGAAATAAACAGGTCAGATTGTGAGTCACAAGATAAAACTATTCATACAATGTCTGAAAATTACAAAGCTAATTTGAATTTTGCACAACAATTAAGAGATGATTGGCATCAAATCCAGTTTTGTATTTAGAGACCACACGACTGTACACACAACAGAGGTGGTCACCAGCACTAAGTCTATATCACACTCCAGCAGGCACTTATCACCATAGGTGGGTCTCACGGATCTCCCCAATTATGTGACTCGCTCTCTGTAAAGCCTGCAAAAACATGAGACATTATTGCATTACTATTGTGTATTCATTCATCATTGATTTTAAGTCCCATCAAATGTACAAGATATTGCTGTGAAAAATAATACAGACAAAAATTTAACATGTCAGTGTTTGGATTTAAGTATCAACAACATGTCTTGGATAAAAGCTGCCAGAAAATTCCCTGAATCTCATTGTTTAATATTTGCTAGATTTAAGAGGTTTGAACATTTCTTGGATTTAAGTGTCCTGAACAGTTTCTGTATATAAAGTGTGCCGAATATTTCCTGGAAACATGTACAAGTGGTCAAAACATTTCCTGGATATATGTGTCTGAAATATATCATGTATGTAAGCATCCAAAACAGATACTAGATATAAATGATTGAAACTTTTACTGTACAAATAACAAAATATTTATCAATTTACGAATATGTTCCCCCGATACACTGTCAAACCTCATCATAATGCCAAATGTTTTAAAAACAATGGCAGCAAAAAATGTTTTGTAGTAAGAATCGTCAGTGAACTTTCCCTGTAATTTGTTTAAAGATTCACAAGGTTCCACTTCCGTGTGTCCCCAATTTAAGTTACCTTGAGCATGTCCTGGGCCTCCTTACGGCGTGCCGAGACGTGATGTGACTCCTCAAGTAAGTATTCAAACTCTTCCTTCTTATACAGCTGACTGACTAGCTCACTCTGCAGGTTGTCCTTGACATGATTCACCAGAAAGTGCATGATGGCCTTGGGAATGGTGTCCTGGATATTCTTACGCACAATGAGGAAATAGGACCGGATCAGACACTCTGGAATTACAGCACAAACAATATGTAACAACCAACATGGCCAGTGATAAGCAGATGATATCTGACTGTTAAACAATACCCATTCAAATTCAAACTTATAATATGATCTTTTCTTACATAGTATCAAAACAGTTAACTACACAAAAAATAGCAGAACTGTTGCTTTATTAAAAGAAATCCTTTAAATTCCTTTTTTTTTAAAACATTTCCAAAATCATGATCCTTTCTGCTATAGCCATCAAATGGTCATCATCTTCAACAGCAGATCATATAAAAATTATTTAACTACTGTGAAATCAGATATTTTCATGGTTTCCCGATAAAACACCATGCCGTGGGTACATGAATTCCTAGATTACGAGTATCCACTCAAAAGGAGAATTGATTTAAATCAAACTTGTAATTACTTTGTTGATCTTTGAATTTGTGGATGAAGATTACCCAAACAATCAAAGAACCAGAGAGATAAGTGACAAATGTATCTATTACATTGTTTGTCATTAAAGTTGTTAATATCATATGGTTGTGGTGACATACCTATTACTTCACAGTCTCGCCTCTCTCGAGCTGAAAGCTTTCTGGCAAACTCTGAGGTGGGCTTTTGGATAAAAATAGAAACAAATCAGGATTATGAGAAAGTAACTGTGCATCTTAATATCCAAATCAAATCCTAGATCATTTCAACCATGAAAACAACGATCATTTCAACCATGAAAACAACGATCATTTCAACCATGAAAACAGCATTCAATCTATACATATTACAATAAAACAAGCATTTTGATGTTAAAAGTTAAGTGAGCAGATTAACAGACATGTAGGCGAGTTGTGACTAGAGTACTTGATGCATAAAATCTCCTAATGGGGGTATGTAAGCACTGAACGGACTTTTACAATGTTCATGCTGATATAAACATTGAAAAAAGCTGTTCAATAGATGCATACTTCCCAACTTTTTGAAATTTTCATGGGGGAGATTTGGCATGCTCAAAATTAAAACAATAAATAAATTGTGTTTATATACCCCTAGAGACAAAATAACATTATAATAATATTAAATGACATATTTTGAGTTGTTCTTTCAGATGAAATCATTAGATCTCAGAATATAGGAACAATTAAACAAATTCACTCTTTGAAAACACTCAAATTAAGGGTCCAAAATCGGGAGTCTCCCTCCTAAATAGGGAGGGTTGGAAAGTATAATTATGCAGATGCATTTACATTCTAAAGTTATCATTGACCTAAATATATAGGTATTTCCTTATATTTTCTATAATGCAGTGTCTGTGTCATACATCAATGCAAACATGATTCCTGGAACAGCCTAACATCACCTAAATGTTTGCTTTTAACAATTGTTCGAGGCAAGAGGAGAAGTTTCAAAATGGTGCAGATCAAATTGCATTCATAGCACTATGAATACAATTTCTTCTGGTAGTGCTTATAGGGGAAACTTATTGTAAAAAAATACCTGTATACAGGGTACATCTTCACCCCCCTCCTAAGTGAAATTAAAACACAAACGGTGAATGTTCTATTTATACAGTGCATCTGTTTATCTGTAAATCAATGTTCTTCTCAAATAGATTAAAATATTTCTTCTCCATAAATTCTATTAAACAAAATGGCACACAAATATAAATTCTTTCCAGAAACAGATGGATACAAAATTATAACAAGAGGCCCAAAGAGCCTGTATCGCTCACCTGGATATTTAAGCAGTCATAACAAATTATTCTCATTAAATATTATACTGTACTACAAATATTTCAATCGCAAACTTTGTCGACCCATCCATTGAAGCTACCAGCCAAATCTTATAATATGATTCTATGCTTTTTTGTTCTGCAGAAGAGGTTGTTTGGAGTGTTGGACATATTTGTCCTGTAACCTTGTAAGTAGCTCGAGGTTATATTCCTTCTCAAACTTTGTTGGCTCTATCCCAAGCAGCTACCAGCCGGATCTTATGAATCCATGCGTTTTAGTTCTTCGGAACAAGTTGTTTAAAGTGTTGTTGACCTCTGTGACATTGAAAGTAGGTTGAGGTCATTTTCATTTGCATTCTTTGATGAGCTCTATCCCAAGAAGGCACCTACCAAATATTAAGATTCTATACCATTCGATTCTTCAGAAGAAGTCGTTTGAAGTATTTAACATATTTGACCTCTGTAACCTTGATAGAAAAAGTCAAGGTAATTTTCACTTGAAAGTAGATTAAGGTCATTTTCGTTCTCAGACTTTGTTGGGTTCTTACAAATGAAGCTTTCAGCCAAATATCATCACTCTAGGCCTGTCCATTATTCAGTAGAATTTGTTTGATGTGTTTGACATACTTGACCCATACAACCTTGAAAGTAGATTAGGTCATTTTGGTTCTCAAACTTTGTTGGGCTCCACCAAAAGGATCTACCAGCCAAATATTCAGTTCTTCAGAAGAAGTCAGTTAAAGTGTTTGAAACATTTGACTCATGTGACCTTGAAAATAGGTCAAGGTCATTCGTGTTCTCAAAGTTTGTCAGGCTTACGAATGAAGCTTTCAGCCAAATATCGTGACTCTAGGCCTGTCCATTATTCAGAAAAAGTGGTTTAAACTGTTTGAGATATTTGAACCCTGTGACCTCGAAAGTAGGTCAAGCGCATTTTCGTTCTCAAACTTTGTCTGGCTCTAAAGAATGCAGCTTTCAGCCAAATATCATGACTCTAGACCTGTCCATTATTCAGAAGAAGTCATCTGATGTGTTTTACATATTTGACCCATATGAACTTGAAAGCAGATAAAGGTAAGTTTCTTTCTCAAACTTTGTTGGGGTCAAACAAAAAAAGGCTACCAGCCAAATATTAAAATTCTATACTAGTAAGTTCTTTAGAAGAAGTCGTTTGACACATTTGACCCATGTGACTTTGAAAGTAGGTCAAGGTCACTTTCATTCGCAAGCTTTGTTGGGCTCTTTCCCAGGATGCTACCAGCCAAATTTGAAGATTCTATACCTTTCAGTTCTTCAGGAGAAGTCTTTTGATGTGTTTTTGACACATTTGACCCCTGTGATCTTGAAAGTAGGTCAAGGTCATTTTCATTTGCAAACTTTGTTATGCTCTTTCCCAGAACGCTACCACCCAAATTTGAAGGTTCTATACCTTTCAGTTCTTCAGAAGTCGTCTGAAGCATTACACATATCTGACTCCTATGACCTTGAAAGCAGGTCAAGGTAATTTTCATTCCAAACTTTGTTGGGCTCTCTCCCAGGAAGCTACCAGCTAAATTTGATGATTCTATACCTTTCAGTTCTTCAGAAGAAGTCGTTTGAAGTATTTGACACATTTGACCCCTGTGACCTTGAAAATGGGTCAAGGTCATTTCTTTTTGCAAACTTTGTTGGGCTTCATCCCAGCAACCAACCAGCCAAATATCATGACATTTGGCCTGTTGGTTATTGAGAAGAAGTCGTTAAAATGGAAAAGTTGATTCCGGACGGACGACGGACGCCGTGCCTTGGCATAGGTGAGCTAAAAATATCAAAATCAAAGCAATCACTAACAAAACAGGGAGGACAATAAAACAGTTTTTGAAATGCAAAAGAAGTATTGTAAGCAAAGAACTGATACTGTTTGTCCTTCATTTTGATACACTTACTGCATTTTCACTCATTCATGACATTCTACCAACTAACCTATCTGCTTGTGAACACCTGTGGGTAACGGTTTGTATATCTGCATCTGCTACAATTTAGTGTTGGTTTAACCAATACAGTTTAGTAGTTTTATATAGAGTAGGATGCATTACTTTCATGTATTTCATTGACAGAATGAAAACCAGGGGTTTATCTAGGATTCAGGGGAAACTACAGTACCTTTTTTTAAATTGAGGGGGAAATTAAATCTCATGAGGGAATTTTTTTCTACAGCAAAATCCTGCTTTTAAAATAGCACCAAAAATGTAAGAAATATAAGTATTTCACAAAGTTTTAACAAAATCTAGAGGAATTTTTAACAATTTACTGAAATTAAGGGAAAATAAGCACAAATTTTCTGAGGGGGAAACTAACCATTACCAGTAGTAAAAAAAGGCCTAAATAAACCCCTGTATACACATTTTAAACCAGTAACCATGATAAAAGCAAGTTTTCTTTTTTTTTATTGTAGAGTACATAGCTCCCTAACATGAAAATGAAATCTCTGTTGTACATATTTTGATATTACTTGACATTTTCACTAATAAAAAACAGACACAATAAACATGCAGCAATAGATATGGGTACAGACAATCAAAACGTACAAAAAATAGGTTTTAAAGCAAAAAAAAATGTTTGCAAGTGCAAGATATGTACGACATACTTTGCAAAATTCCAACTGCAAAGAAAATATTAAGGGAATTCAAAATACAGTTATAGATGTATCTTGTGAAAAAAGTTACATTTATAAGATTTTTTTTTTTTTTTAAATTATCTGAAAACATTTAGATATTAGGGTGTTAACAAAGTAAAGAGTACATATTTTGTTGGTTCTAATTACTAGGAACACAGATTTGAACAAACATTACTTAATCAGAACTGGACAGCTGAGTACCTTACTAGCCCCTATTTTATAGATGTTGACCAATTAATAGGACTGGTAAGTGTAGGACTGACCCCTAGCTTGTAGCAGTCAGTAACCTACTAAATATATCTGAAGGTTGGCCCTCAATTGATGTTAACTTTCAGTGTTATTACTATAATGAACAAGAGGTGAACCCCCTAGCTTGTATTGGTCAGTTTACTTACCATGTCAGACAATAGGTTGACCCCCTTGGTCAGTTTACTTAGCACGTCGGACAAGAGGTGAACCCCCTAGCTTTTATTGGTCAGTTTACTTACCATGTCAGACAATAGTTTGATCCCCTTGGTCGGTTTACTTAGCACGTCGGACAAGAGGTGAACCCCCTAGCTTTTATTGGTCAGTTAACTTAGCACGTCGGACAATAGGTTGACCCCCTTGGTCAATTAACTTAGCCCGTCGGCCAAGAGGTGAAACCCCTAGCTTTTATTGGTCAGTTTACTTACCATGTCAGATAAGAGGTGAAGCCCCTAACTTGTATTGGTCAGTTTACTTACCATGTCAGACAATAGGTTGACCCCCTTGTTCAGTTTACTTAGCACGTAGGGCAAGAGATGAACCCCCTAGCTTTTATTGGTCAGTTTACTTACCACGTCGGACAAGAGGTTGACCCCCTAGCTTGTATTGGTCAGTTTACTTACCACGTCGGATAAGAGGTTGACCCCCTAGCTTGTATTGGTCAGTTTCCTTACCACGTCGGACAAGAGGTTGACCCCCTAGCTTTTATTGGTCAGTTTACTTACCATGTCAGATAAGAGGGGAAGCCCCTAACTTGTATTGGTCAGGTTACTTACCATGTCAGACAATAGGTTGACCCCCTTGGTCAGTTTACTTAGCACGTCGGACTAGAGGTGAACCCCCTAGCTTTTATTGGTCAGTTAACTTAGCACGTCGGACAATAGGTTGACCCCCTTGGTCAATTAACTTAGCCCGTCGGCCAAGAGGTGAAAACCCTAGCTTTTATTGGTCAGTTTACTTACCACGTCGGACAAGAGGTTGACCCCCTTCCTACCATGAGCTGGAGACCCTGCCACACTACTGGGAGCACTGGCTGTTCCCAACTCAAGCTTATCTTGCAGGTTTTTGTTCTTGATGAAATTTGTAATTGTTGAACTATTGAGTACCTGGAAATATAGACAATGTTTTAATAACATCTGGTCTCCTCTTCTAACCGTTGTCACTACAGCTAAAACCAGAAGTATTTCTCAACTATTTACCAACAATAAATGGTCAGTGATTGTTGTAACTTAACCAGAAAATCCACTTGTCCTTACTCCTATTTTACTGCTACAAGCATGTTTTGTGTTGAAATGTGGAAACAACAAAATATCCTGCACATTTATAAAATGTCATGTGCCGTTGAACATGCATTCTTTCTCAGTGATTTCCATCTTGACTAACACAAGTGTTATCATTAGTTATATACTTAATGACAAGGAGGCTTCTATCACCTAGGGTAGTAGCGACAGGAACACAGTAAAAATACAGTAACAAGGAGGCTTCTATCCCCTAGGGTAGCGACAGGACCACAGTAAAAATACAGTAACAAGGAGGCTTCTATCCCCTAGGGTAGCGACAGGACCACAGTAAAAATACAGTAACAAGGAGGCTTCTATCCCCTAGGGTAGCGACAGGAACACAGTAAAAATACAGTAAAAAGGAGGCTTCTATCACCTAGGGTAGCGACAGGAACACAGTAAAAATAAAGTATAACAATGAGCTCATCAGTCAAGTGCTTTCTACTGAATCTCCCAATACCTACATCAGGACACATGACATAACCTTCAGTGTTGACTAGAATGAGCACTGGGAGTTTTAACTTTTGATACGGGTAATGTGGCCTACATGTGAGTTTGCAGACTAACACTCTCAATTCCAGCAATTAATAAATTGTTCTTTAATTAAATTTGGTTGATTAATTCTTTCTCCTGTAACATTATACACACACATTTAACATTTTCAAAGTTGTTTTTTGTTTGATAATTTGAAGATTGAAGATAAGTAAGCAGAAGATCTTATGCCAGAAATTGGACCAATAAGCTATCAGACCACACAGCATTAACAAATTAAGACAGGTTAGCATATCAGTGATTATACTTATTAATAATACTTTCTATGGTTTTATCTCATCTGTCATCATTTGCTGTTAACACATAGAAAAGCAAATTTACAAGTTGTTTTTTAATTGTGTCAAACATTTTTTTTTAAATACCCTTCCTACCTTTTTTTCCTTGGTTTGGTCTCTAGCCTCCTCACTTTGTCGTGCTTCCATCAGTTCCTTGTGGATGGTTTTTGGAAGCTCTGTATTCTCTGTCATGCTTTTCTGTACTAAATGGACCTCGTGGAAGTCTGGGTGTTTGGTGTTGATATAAGCTAGCTCTATTCCTACAATGTTCTCCACCTGTTAAACAAACACAAATTGTACAATTGAATAAAAACCTACCGTAAAACTCTCAACATGAAGATATTAACCCAAAATACACTGTGTACATATAGATTTCTATTTTTCTCCAGTTATTCTTAATGGTCATAACAATTCAACCATTCTTGTTTGTACAACCGCACATTAGATACCATTAACTGCACTACATGTCAAAACCACATTCTTGCTGGACTTCAGTGTCCAGGGCTGGCTCTGGGTTTTTATTCAGTTTCACCGATTTTGAATTTGTGGCGTGCAATCATTACACAGTGTCTGTATGAGTTCCATTATGTTCAGACTGAACCAGGACAACACAGAGCTTATAGCTTTTATTCCTAAACACCAGTTTTCAACACATCAAAGTGAAATTATTAAGATTTGTTGATAATTTATAATGAACAATCCCAGTACCAAGTCTCCTGTCTGGGTGTAGACGAGGCGATGAGGTCGTCAATTGAGGCTGCGAGCACTACTCACCATGCTGTTAGTGGGTGGCAGTCTACGACGTAATAGCTGTGTCACCACATCAATAATCTTCTCATGTAGTTTCGGGAACCGCAACATCTCTTGCTGTTGGACGATAACAGACAATTATTTACCGGTACAGTATACATCTATGAAAACAAGTTGTCAATGTACACTGTAACAAATGTTTTTGCCCAAACATAAAATAAGGTCATGATTGCCCACAAGGTATTAGCCTAACCATTCTATCATTATACCTCAAACAAATTGCAAAAGAAACAAACACATTTGCAACAAGTACTAATTGTAATGGGGGACCATTACAGAAGTCCCCCAAACTGCCTCCATAGTCGCAAAGATACATCAGAAAAGGATCACAATGGCATAAAACACCTTCATACTAAATTTGAGTGAAATCGAACAATATCTGAATTTCGACCAATCTGAAGCTTCCATGTTGTTGGTATGGCAACGAAACCTATGTGGTTGAATTTGCAGTCCCCTAATACCCCTTTACACCAATTTTCAAAAACGATCAAACAATATATAAATTTCGACCAATCAGAAGCCTCCGTGTGGTTGCTATATAGTTACTATGGCAACGAAACATATGTGGTTTAATTTGCAGACCCCTAATACTCCTATATACAAATTTTCTTAAAAATCAAACAATATCTAAATTTCGACCAATCAGAAGCCTCTGTGTGCTATGGCAACGAAACCTATGCGATTGAATTCGCAGTCCCCTAATACCCCAATATACCATTTTTTATCAAAACCAAACAATATCTACCCCATAGTCGCAAAGATGCATCAGAAAATGATTGTAATGCCTTTATAGACATACATACTAAATGTGAATGAAATCAAACAATTTATAAATTGCAACCAATTAGAAGTCTCTGTGATTGCTATGGCAACGAAGGTATTTGTAGTATTTAAACTTGGGTTTATGTTGTTTTGCATTCATTTAGCTAATTTGCTTATGTCAGAGACAAAAATTGACATACCTTTTTCTTTAGGGAGGGGGCTTAATTGCAGGCACCCACCCTGTTCCCAGGACATTTACCAAAGTGGGGAGGGGGCTTATTTGCGAGAGGGAGCTTATTCGCAGTAAAATACGGTATGTTCCATCAAATAGAGTAAGATGCACAACTACACATCATACTGATTATGTATGCAAAGTTTGATCAGAATCCCATTAGTAGTTCCTGAGATTAAGCGTGGAAGCGGAATAATAATAATAAGAAGAAGAAGATGAAGAGTAAGTAAGAAACGGAACAATAACAATAAGTCTCCCCGACTTCGTCTGGGGTGACTAAATAAGAATCGGATTAAAAACAGTAAGTCCCCAAACTTTGTTTGGGGGACTTAATAGGTAGATCTTGTAGGTATGTATCACATGTTAATATTTGACAGAAATCGAAAAAGGGGAAAATGACTAATTTTCATGTTTTATGTGCGAAATATTGCCCTGAAAGCTTACTTCATATTATCAGCTGCCATTGCAAGACGAGCTGTGACACATGAAGGTGCACTTGTAGGAATCATGGACTAGAGTGTTGTGTAGTCTGTAAGGACTTTAAAGGAATTAGTTGTCCAAATTCATCTAGACAAATTGAGGACGAGGCATAGTACAATTTTATCAAGTAATCTATAGTAATTTTGTATAACCATGGATGGAGGGAGGACTTAAATCGGATTAGTATCAAAATTGGATCACTTTTTTGCAAAAAAAAAATAAAATGTTTCAATACATGTATATCAGTTATTATAATGATGTAACCTTAGAATACATCGCCATGCATCGTTTTTTTGAGACATATGGTTAGTTTTTAAGTTCAAATAGCGTTAGCAAATTGTGTATGTGGCAGGATTGAATTTTATCAAATTTAGTTTAATGTTGTATAATAATTCTTTATTTGTTATTATATAATCCCCGGTTAAACGTACGTATTTTACAGCTAAGTGTTAATTGTCAGATTGTACTCGTATCTGTTACATATGTATCGATAGTGTTATGTGTATGCGTAGTAAAGTATTGTATGTTTGTATCGTTGCAGGGTAAGATTTACCTACAATAAAACCACTGGTTCGTTATCAAAACGTCGAGCTTGGGTTGTTTATTTACCCCCAAATACCCCTCGGTTTCATGTACGTTGCTAAAAAATGTGCGTGCAAGGACTACATGTAAGCATTCTGTTGGAATGTAGGAATAAATTCAGCCTATAGAAAAACTTATATTCATTAAAATTTCAAAACTAATTAAAAATGTTAAAATGATGACACAAAAAGATCATTTTTAGCATAAGATATTGTAAAATTCAAGCCATGATCCGATTTTGGTACAGACATTTGCAAAAAACGGAAACACTAATTGGTGACGTCGAACTGTTCTATAAATATCTCACGTGAGCCCCAGGTGCTAACTTGGCTGGTAAGAACTGCTATCGATATTCTCCATATAATACAACAATACATGAATATAATTCATTCTCTGAATTTTCAATGATCCATTTTGGGTACTGATGATCGCTTGAAATCGGCAGAAGTCATCTCGTCCATACCAGTATTGTCTGAAAACTAGTGTTACTATTTGTCTTAGAGATATAATTCACATGTTTTAAAAACGTTTTACGAGTGTTCCAAATTCAGGACTCTGATCTAACAAATCTGATATAATGTCATAATTATAAGTCAATTTGTCCCAAATATTACTAACAAATCTGATATAATGTCATAATTATAAGTCAATTCATCCCAAATATTACTATCTTAAACTCGATTGAGTGTTTTATTTGTTTATTTGCTTTCATTTATGCATATCGCTCAAAAGTAGTGAAAAATGTATTCATTGTTTTGGATAAATTGTAAAACCGGATCAATATAGTATCTATTTCATCATATTGTCAATGGATATATATATGTGTATGGAATATAACAAATAGCTTGTGTGACCTTTGATCCCCAAAGATTGACCTTTCCCACCTTTTCTGTGTTTTCGAATTTGTATGTGTGTTTAACCACACACTAGAGATTATGATAATGAATAAAAAGGTTCTTTTGCAATTTGTTTGAGGTTCGGCTTAATTTGGTGTAGAATGGTTAGACTATTACTATGGTCTAAGATGGCTAATGCATTTACATAAAGTCATTTTTTGACCTGGGAGTAGAAACTGGTTTTTTTTCCTCTCTAGTGTACAAACCTGTGTGCCACAGTGTTGAATTATCCGCTGCATTTCCTCGTGGACAAGTTCTACGCAGCGAAGACTGGGATCTTCTAATCGTCGGATTTGTCTCTTTACTAGCAGTTCAAATGACACTTCTGGTACAAAAAGGGCAGGTCTGGTACCCTGAGAAAGAATTTGGTAAGTTGAAATAAATCTTATTTGTTTGTGCCTGTGATTATCACATCTCACATTGTGAAGTTCATCACACCAAGGACAATGCAAAACCATTAATTTTCAACAAACATAAATATCAGCTCTCACTGGACTAAACATTGACAGAACATAAAGGTCAGCTATCACTGGACTAAATATTGACAGAACATAAAGGTCAGCTATCACTGGACTCAATATTGACAGAACATAAAGGTCAGCTCTCACTGGACTAAATATTGACAAAACATTGAGGGCAGCTATGACTGGACTTAATATTGACAGAACATAAAGGTAACCTCTCACTGGACTTAATATTGGCAGAACATTAAGGTCAGCTATCACTGGCCTAAATATTGACAGAACATAAAGGCCAGCTTTCACTGGACTAAATATTGATAGAACATAAATATCAGCTCTCACTGGTCTAAAAATTGACAGAACATTAAGGTCAGCTCTCACTGGACTAAATATTGACAGAACATAAAGGTCAGCTTTCACTGGACTAAATATTGACAAAACATTGAGGTCAGCTATGACTGGACTTAATATTGACAAAACATTAAGGTCAGCTCTCACTGGACTAAATATTGACAAAACATAAAGGTCAGCTCTCACTGGACTTAATATTGACAGAACATTAAGGTCAGCTCTCACTGGACTTAATATTGACAGAACATTAATATCAGCTATCACTGGACTAAATATTGACAGAACATAAATATCAGCTCTCATTGGACTAAATATTGACAGAACATTAAGGTCAGCTATCACTGGACTAAATATTGACAAAACATAAATATCAGCTATCACTTGACGCAATATTGACAGAACATAAATATCAGCTATCACTGGACTAAACATTGACAGAATGTAAAGGTCAGCTCTCACTGGACTAAATATTGACAGAACATAAATATCAGCTATCACTGGACTAAACAATGACAGAACGTAAAGGTCAGCTCTCACCAGACTGAAGCTTGAGGGGTGTAATCTCTGATCAGACCGAATCATGAAGTATGTAAACATCTGACAATTTTTAACCAGACTGAAACTGACTGAATATATCAGTCCACCTCACCGTTGCATTCCTAATAGCTGTCAGAACGTCCATTGTTGTTAGGCCTACTAGTGGATCTACAGATTCTAAAGTACGACCAAACGTCTCGTGAAATATATAACAAATTCTAGCTCCACCACATCTGAAATTAAAAAGATAAATATCATTAAGTTACATACACTCTAGACCTGGTGATTACCTTGACAATATTGCACAACTTAAGAATACAAATCAGTATTTAAAGAACAGGTTTGACTAAAATTAGTTTATTTTTAGAATTATGGTTGAGAAACAAACGTGGAACATATGAATTTTATCCGCAGAAAATAATATCACAGACTGATTTAAAACATCAAATTCAAATCCCAAAAGTGTATTACCCGTGTATTCAGGAACAATATTTGGTTTTCATAAGGAGAGAAGGCAGTATTGAAGTGTTACAGGTAGTACAGACCATGCAATACAGAGCAGCCTCATTAATTCATCTGCCACCTAGTTGTGGCTGGATTAGTGCAGCTTGACAGTTTGCATGTTGTGAAAATAAGTCATTTTCGAGGAACAAACATTAAAGAACATTAGAATAGAGGCTTGTTAGCTGTAACTTCAGCTGAGCTATATTCACTGCCTTGGACAGTGTTAACCATTCAATGATACAGCACTCCACTTGACCCTATACTAACTGTACCCTGGTACCTAGATGTCACGCAATATATATCTTTTCATGTAGAAACTTTGAACATCTAATAACCATCAGTTCACTTACAGTTCTGAAGTTTCAATGTATTTAGAGGTTCCCTCTATTGTGCTGCAGTAAGCTGAGGCAAATCTCGTGATGATCTGTAATAACAGCTGACCCTGTGGGGTAGATAGGTTAAACATATAGGTGATAACCCGAGGGGCAAGCATACAGACATATATACATACAGGTACCATATTAACCCAGCAATAACACCCTGCTTGGTTGTAAGCCCACCAATATACAGTGCTGTGAGGAAGAAATGCCAACAAAAGCTCTTTTTTGTCCTGTATTTTACCCCATCTCCCTACTTTCTTTGTCCTGTATTTTACCCCAATCCCCTACTTTCTTTGTCCTGTATTTTACCCAATCCCCCTACTTTCTTTGTCCTGTATTTTTACCCCATCCCCGTACTTTCTTTGTCCTGTATTTTACCCCATCCCCCTACTTTCTTTGTCTTGTATTTTACCCCATCCCCCTACTTTCTTTGTCCTGTATTTTACCCCATCCCCCTACTTTCTTTGTCCTGTATTTTACCCCATCCCCCTACTTTCTTTGTCCTGTATTTTACCCCATCCCCCTACTTTCTTTGTCCTGTATTTTACCCCATCCCCCTACTTTCTTTGTCCTGTATTTTACCCCATCCCCCTACTTTCTTTGTCCTGTATTTTACCCCATCCCCCTACTTTCTTTGTCCTGTATTTTACCCCATCCCCCTACTTTCTTTGTCCTGTATTTTACCCCATCCCCCTACTTTCTTTGTCCTGTATTTTACCCCATCCCCCTACTTTCTTTGTCCTGTATTTTACCCCATCCCCCTACTTTCTTTGTCCTGTATTTTACCCCATCCCCCTACTTTCTTTGTCCTGTATTTTACCCCATCCCCCTACTTTCTTTGTCCTGTATTTTACCCCATCCCCCTACTTTCTTTGTCCTGTATTTTACCCCATCCCCCTACTTTCTTTGTCCTGTATTTTACCCCATCCCCCTACTTTCTTTGTCCTGTATTTTACCCCATCCCCCTACTTTCTTTGTCCTGTATTTTACCCCATCCCCCTACTTTCTTTGTCCTGTATTTTACCCCATCCCCCTACTTTCTTTGTCCTGTATTTTACCCCATCCCCATACTTTCTTTGTCCTGTATTTTACCCCATCCCCCTACTTTCTTTGTCCTGTATTTTACCCCATCCCCCTACTTTCTTTGTCCTGTATTTTACCCCATCCCCCTACTTTCTTTGTCCTGTGTTTTACCCCATCCCCGTACTTTCTTTGTCCTGTGTTTTACCCAATCCCCATACTTTCTTTGTCCTGTATTTTACCCCAACCCCCTACTTTCTTTGTCCTGTATTTTACCCCATCCCCCTACTTTCTTTGTCCTGTATTTTACCCCATCCCCCTACTTTATTGTCCTGTATTTTACCCAATCACCCTACTATCTTTGTCCTGTATTTTACACCATCCCCCTACTTTCTTTGTCCTGTATTTTACCCCATCCCCCTACTTTCTTTGTCCTGTATTTTACCCAATCACCCTACTTTCTTTGTCCTGTATTTTACCCCATCCCCTACTTTCTTTGTCCTGTATTTTACCCAATCACCCTACTTTCTTTGTCCTGTATTTTACCCCATCCCCCTACTTTCTTTGTCCTGTATTTTACCCAATCACCCTACTTTCTTTGTCCTGTATTTTACCCCATACCCCTACTTTCTTTGTCCTGTATTTTACCCCATCACCCTACTTTCTTTGTCCTGTATTTTACCCCAATCCCCTACTTTCTTTGTCCTGTATTTTACCCCAATCCCCTACTTTCTTTGTCCTGTATTTTACCCCCTCCCCCTACTTTCTTTGTCCTGTATTTTTCCCAATCCCCCTACTTTCTTTGTCCTGTATTTTACTCAATCCCCCTACTTTCTTTGTCCTGTATTTTACCCCATCCCCCTACTTTCAGTCAGAAATTATATGTTGGCCCCCTGGGCTTATTGTAGGATAAATATGGGATCTTACCTGATATAAACAGATGATATTCAGTAAATATATGAAGATGAATATATTATCCAATTCACTGTGTTACCTTATCTTCTACTGGTTCTCCAAATGAGATGAGAAGGGACTGGAACTGTGCCATAAGAATGTTCACTCGCGTCTTTAGCTCGGGTAAACAGTCTCGTATGTGATGCATGAGTAACTGAAACGGAACGAAAAAATTATCATGACCACTTTAAATGGTGTTCTGTTGTCATTGAGATTGGAACTTAATCTCTATAAGGAAACACATATTGCTTAAACTGTTGAAAGGGAAGTGACATTGATATGTTCAGTGATATAAATTCTAGCGTACAAACTTGAAATTCACTGGAGGTCTATAGGAATCGTTTATTTCACAGACCAAGTTGTCTATGAAGTTATAACCTATGATGTATATGTTAGTCGTGAGCAAAAAATGTTCTGTTCACTCATTCTTTTCCTTTGTCGACAGAGTAGAATAAATGTCAGGAAATTCAGCATTTTCATCGTGCAATACAAGTTTTAAACAGAAATTCTTGTGAAATGGACTCTATCTTTGAATGTACTATCGTCTACTTTTTAGTTTTGCTTAAAGGCTGTATGTTTTAAATCTAATTTCCATCAGTATGCATTGTATACTACATTGCTATGTATCTTGTATAGAACAAGTATGTCTTTATCTGTGATATTTAACTTTATTGTTGATATCATTGTTATCAATTCCGTATTTGGATCCTCGGGTCTGTTGAATTGAAACAATAAATAAATTCAATGTTATCAATCAAAACATATACAAATAAATTTTCATTAAATTTTTTTTTCAAATGTTGTACAGTAAGGGATACTTACTCTATTTAATGTCTTAGCTAGGTAGTGTGTGCCATTTCTACTAGCTATTGATGGGTACTTCTTTTGTAAAAATGCACCCTCGTCTTTCACACAAGATGTTAAATCCTGCAAATAAATATCAATGTAGAAAATTGATAATGTAAATGTACGTTATAAAACAATCCTCAAAAAGTCATCTGAATGGAGTTAATTTGTGAATGCTTCGATTCTAACCCAGTTAGACTATGATGTCTAAAGAGTCTGACAGCATTTTATGCTGGCAGGGCAACCCTTGTTGACAGTTCACTTGTCCAGGGCTCACTAATCCATAATAACTGAAGCTCTACTTACACAAAAATATCTTATCTCAACCCGTAACAAATGCATCTCCACCAATAACAAATATGTATACAGATCCATCCAAAACAATATTTCACAAGCAAGCATGTTACCTTGGCTGAATTGATGTCGGCCTGACTACGGTTGACTACACCTATGATACCGAGCTTGACAGGGATCACTCGTCCACATAAAACATCCATAGCGTCTGTCCCATGGTCCATCAGGTCAAGTTTGGTCACCACGGCCAAAGTGCGACGACCTGGAAATTGGGAATGTACCAAAACAGGATTAAAAACAGAAACTGTTAGTTGAAAGACTCTATCCCTGTCATAAACGAACCAATCTAAACATCTGGCTGAGATCACATTCCACTTGCCACACCCAGGTCTATACCATCACGCCAAACTGACCAAAGCTTGAGGTGAGAAGTAGAGCAAGTACACACATAACCTTTCAGTTTGTTTGTTAGCCACCGAGATATCACTGCTGACATCTGTGAAGGAGTAGATATGGCTCTTTACAGGGTTTCAGAACTTTCATCTTGGAATAAAGCCTTTATAAAATCAGGGCTTTCAGTTAATATTTAGCTATTTCAGAAGTTATATCACATTTTCCCTGAAATCTGAGGAATCAAAACACATGTCATATAGACATATCTTTTTCAAACCCAAAAGTCATTTTGGGGAGTAAAAAAATCCTCTCAAGGGTCTAATGAAAGCCATGTCAGTGCAGTTTATATCAGACTGAGTATAATAAAACAGCTAAAGTATAGGATTTAAGGAGAGATTCTAGCAAATTTCTGGTTTCCTTCGACAAGGCTGATTTATCATTTCCTGAGGCAAATTACCACCCAGATGACTGGTCCACAGTCTACAGGTTTTGTTTTTATTGGTTTAAAACAAAAGTTACAAACTGGAAAATCTTGAAACATTGTACAGCTATTTATCTTCATGAGGATATTTAAGCTAATTCACGGGGCATATACATACATATATATATATACATGATTGCAAAACAATTATTGACATAATGACATGATCCATGTAAATATCTGTGCTATAAACTGCAATCAACTTATTCTACAGTAACTATACCGGTATCATCATTTGCAAGCATGTATGTGGGCTTTCTTAAAACAATCTGGTAACATTGTCTGTAAGAGACAATAACATAACTATTTTTATCGAGTGTAATTAATGACTGTTTACTATTCAAGGAGCTGGACTACATAACTAAAATGTGTAACAATACCCCAACATACCATCAACATCCACATCCCTGGCCAGTTTCAGCGCCTCTGAAGTGGCCATGTCTGTGTTGGCTGCACTTACAGCTAGAATGATTGAATTTGGATTGCTTATGTATTTTAAACAGAGTTCATATATTTGTCCCTCAATGTCTTGAGGCTGGTCTCCCACTGGGACTTTGGTCATCCCTGGCAAGTCCACCAGGGTCAGGTTCACAATCTTTGGTGAAAATATCTTCAAGTTGATGGGATCTTGACTAATTCCCTGTAAAAATATGATAAATGAATTTGATTGTTTATTATTAGCAGAGGAGGTTCTGGCCAAGATAAATATTTACTGAGATATATATAGAAATCACTCCTTACAGTTATCATTCATATCAACAATAATGCATTAGAACGTGTTTATTCTCTTTTCTGACAGATAACTCACGAGATCTTGTTCACTGATCAGACATAACTCTTATTGTATCTTGATGTTCAGGCTTTAAAATATAATTTTAGGTATTGTTTGACACATCTCAGGTTTTCACTCTTTCCACACTTTTGTTTGGTACAGACGAAAAAAACTATGCTCCCTGATCCCCTGTTGTCGTGTACACACAACAGTGACTTTGGTGTTACCTGTCTTTTGATTAGCTGGTTCTAGTACACAATAGCGGTGTAATCAATTAATTATTGCTAAAATTTGAACCCATCAGTTGATAAGAGTTTGATAGGTGCAGAGTACACACTTTTCATCATGTGACCTAATTTTTTTTCTAATTTCCCGCAAGATGTTGCATTTGGTGGTCACCAATATAAACAACATGGCGACAAGTGCATTTGACACGAGCACCTATCGTGTCGGTGTCGGACGGTCTTTTTCAATACCCAAGCGCTAAGTACGGGGCTGCATCACCAAATAATCATGAAGACTATATGCAACCAAGTAATTGTGGATATTCTACTATAAATCACGATAAAATCTACTCGTATTTAGAAAACTTAACGACTTCATAACCAAAATCAATCCCCATTGGGGACCCACGCTGAAAAACTGTATTTTGAAGACAAGGAATTTCATCATTCAATGACGAATACAAGCCGAAGCGAAAATGAAGATGCGTAAGTATATATAATGAATGAGATCAAACAATAACAACACTGGTTCAAGGTTACCTATTTATTTCTTGCAGGAGTTACACCTTGTCTAAAAAATACATTGAAAATCCACCATTTAATTGCATGTACAGGGGTTGAGCCTAGTACTTAATAACATCCAATGCAGATTCTAAAGAGATAAAGAAAACTTCATTTCAAAAATTAATTTTCACAAGTTAATTTATTACATTGCTCTCACCTTGTTTATTCCAGACATCCGATCTGTTTCATTTTCTATCTCTCGTCTGATCTCATCAAAGTCAGTATAAATTTTTTCTTTTGTGTGCAAAAATTTCCCCCATTCCTCCGCCTTTACAGTTCCTGAAATCATCAAATATTATATCCATTTAATACTGGGTAAACAGAATGGTATACATTAGGTAAATATTTTGGCTCATTTTTAACATCAAGATTAATTGAACTCGGCTAAATCGGGACACACAGTAATAAATATATACCTGGTAGTAATATATATTTTTTATTGCTTATCACTTATGATCACAGCTAACTGAGGGGGTTAGCCGTTATCATAAGTGATAACTGTTTATTTTATGCATTTTATGTTGTAGTTTTGTTTCATAGTGACTGTTTATCTTCATTATACTGTATGTTGTGAAATGTTAGTGTTAATGTTCCTGTCTTGAAGAAGGGGCGTATTGCACTAAAAAATTGACAAATTTCTTTGTTTGCTTTGACGATTTTAATTCAATGCTTATATAAGTACGTTATACGTATCCAACTAACATTGTTGTTCAGATCCAGTGGCCACATTTATCATACTGTTGTAATGACATAGGAGACATATATATACCAAGTAGTTCTAGCGCTTGTTGAGAGAACAAGTGGCCACATTTATCATACCGTTGTTATGACATAGGAGATATATATACACCAAGTAGTTCTAGCTCTGGTTGTGAGATCCAGTGGCCACAGTAATCATACTGTTGTTATGACATAGGAGGCATATATACACCAAGTAGTTCTTGCGCTGGTTGTGAGATCCAGTGCCAACATTTATCATACTGTTGTTATGAGGTAGGAGACATGTATACACCAAGTAGTTCTAGCGTTGGTTGTGAGATCCCGTGCCCACATTTATCATACTGGTGTTATGACATAGGAGACATATATAAACAAAGTAGTTCTAGCGCTGGTTGTTAGATCCAGTGGCCACATTATTCATACTGTTGTTATGACATAAGAGACATATATACACCAAGTAGATCTGGCGCTGGTTGTGAGATCCAGTGTCCACATTTATCATACTGTTGTTACGACATAGGAGACATATATACCCCAAGTAGTTCTAGCGCTGGCTGCGAGATCCAGTCACCACATTTATCATACTGTTCTTATGACATAGGAGACATACATACACCAAGTAGTTCTAGCACTGGTTGTGAGATCCAGTGCCAACATTTATCATACTGTTGTAATGACATAGGAGACATATATACGCCAAGTAGTTCTAGCGCTGGCTGCGAGATCCAGTCACCACATTTATCATACTGTTGTTATGAAATAGGAGACATATATACACCAAGAAGTTCTAGCGCTGGTTGTGAGACCCAGTGGCCACATTTATCATACAGTTGTTATGACATAGGAGATATATATACACCAAGTAGTTCTAGCTCTGGTTGTGAGATCCAGTGGACACATTTATCATACTGTTGTAATGACATAGGAGACATATATAAACCAAGTAGTTCTAGCGCTTGTTGAGAGAACAAGTGGCCACATTTATCATACCGTTGTTATGACATAGGAGATATATATACACCAAGTAGTTCGAGCGCTGGTTGTGAGATCCAGTGGACACATTTATCATACTGTTGTTATGAGGTAGGAGACATGTATACACCAAGTAGTTCTAGCACTGGTTGTGAGATCCAGTGCCAACATTTATCATACTGTTGTTACGACATAGGAGACATATATACTCCAAGTAGTTCTAGCGCTCGTTGTGAGTTCCAGTGGCCACATTTATCGTACTGTTGTTATGACATAGGAGGCATATATACACCAAGTAGTTCTAGCGTTGGTTGTGAGATCCAGTGCCAACATTTATCATACTGTTGTTACGACATAGGAGACATATATACGCCAAGTAGTTCTAGCGCTGATTGTGAGATCCAGTGGCCACATTATTCATACTGTTGTTATGACATAGGAGACATATACATCTAGTAGTTCTAGCGCTGGTTGTGGAGCTGACCATTAAATATTAAACATTTTCTATAGCAATTGTATTTTGAAGCCAGGAACTGTATCTGAGTTCTAAAACAAGAAGCCAAAATAAAGCCTGTATCACTCAGATATTATTCAATTGTGTTGGATTATTTTTCGATGTATCAGCTCATCAACAGAAAAAGGCAGATCTTTTGAGATTTTAAGCTTTTAACACTTTTTACTTGGTACTTTTATTACTTCGGATTAGAAGAACGTCCTTCATTTAAACAAAATTGATAGCCTTTCACCTGAAACCTACAGGCAATGAGTTTTTTAGTACATCTTTTGATCCATGATGTTGCACTGTATAAACACCCATGATAGCTCTTAATCCTAGTAAGCTATATACATGTACCAAATAGCATGGACATTATAATTTGAAAGAAAAAAGTTAAGTTGACAGACCTGTTGGATGAACGTTGCGCAATTGCATAAACTCATGGGCACTGTCACGGACAACTGAGTCTTGTATGAATATATATACGATGCAAAAAATAACTTTACCAGTACATAGGTTTTTTGCTGCACCTGTTTAATATTTTGTTAATAATAAAGAATGTATTTAAATTAATTGATTGGTTATATACATTTGGCCTGCATTCATTAATGAATTTCTAAATATACTTTATATATGTGTGTATTCATTCTACTTACCTCCACCTTCTACCTTTCTGGACTCAGCATCATTTTTGGCCACATGGACGAGCTGCAGCACCAGAGGGCGCCTTGTCACAATACCTGTCCCTCGAGGAAGGAAGTCACGCCCAACCAGACTCTCTACCACAGAACTTTTACCGGAACTCTGGAACCAAAATCAAACATTGCAACCGTATTTGATTTTTTAAAAATAAACTCCCTGAAAAGGTCATTATATTCTTCTTACAATGTCCCACCTCCACTCCTGTTCTTACCGATAGGAATTATCAGTTTCTCTATATATGGCCTGCATGACCAAATATATTATTACTACTTATGCCGCCATGTTTACTACTAATGCAATACATTGAGTGATGACACCGTCCCATATATAGAAATCTGATCTATATATTGGAAGAGAGATCAACAAGTTTCCCCTTTCCATCATGGAGGTCAATTCAAATTGGATTACCTTCGCTGCGTAAACTGTATGATTTAATGCCATTTTAGGCAGACTTTAACTTCAAGTTACATAGGAAATCAACAGAAATAGTTTACATTAATAAATTAGTCATTTATTATTATAAACCAGTGTATATATGGATACGGACCTATGGGCTATCAATTAATGCTAAAATTGACCCGGTGTGGAATCACCGGGCTTGCCTCTTTACAAGGCATGGGATCGATAAAATACCTGCCAATATTAAAAGGTATCAATTCAATATTAATTCCAGGTACGTTGTAGCTCAAATAAAGGGCTCAGTCAAGTCAGTGTTTTGTTTTGATGAGATGCGGGGGTTTGAACCCCAATATGCCCTGTTGCATTTTTGGGGCTACATGCATTGCAGTTTATTTTGCTTCTTCCAAATAAACAGCTTCCTTTGGAAAAGTGAAAAAAATACCAAACAGTAGGCACTAGTTTTAATCTAGTTCTAAATATAACTATTACTGGGCGTTTTGTAAAAAAAAATAATGATGCAAACACATAACGAGAAACCCCTTTTCTTAACTGTCTATATCATCTGCGCATATCAGTTGCATACTAACAATAGTTGTGGGAAACAGACAGACGATCTTGTTTTATTTCTATGACATTGAAATCAAAAGTGAAATCAAAACATTGATATTACGTTTTCCTTTCCGATATTACCTGGTTGCCAATTACAACGATCTGTGGCAGTAAAATAGTCTCTGATCCTACTGTATTGAAGACATCTTGCAACTTATTGATAACTGGAATAAGTCCTTCCATTTCGTCTGCGTTTTTCCTCAAAGCATAGGGATTTTTGTGAAAAAGGCTGGGAATATACCGGTTTCAACTACTTCCGGGCTAGAACGCAGAAAGTCGTGACGTACTACACATTGTGTTCATGCTTGCGTTTACCTGCTTCTGTATCACGAAATGCACAGCACTATTTCACGAAAACAATTATATATAGAAGATAAAACAACACCAAAAATAGCTGGGTAAGTAGGCCTTATACTTAGAATTAGAAGAACATCGATATTTAACAACTCTTTAGTATGTTATATGACTCGAACCACTGTTTGTACATTGTAGTTGTGTCAAGTGTTGTGTACAGTTTACATTCACATCTAGATTGTTCATCTTCAAAAATAGGTTGTTTACATTCTATGTACATGTTTAGTTTGTCATGTTATCGTTATTAAATCTTCTTACGTACATTTTAGGTGGTCATTGTGTATTGTGAAAATTTCCATTCAGTGATTCGCTTTAATACAGTTCTTTGCCCTTAATTTCATCACCTCATCATACCCGACATGAGTTGTATTCAGAGACCCAAATTAAAAATTGGATCTCAATTGTATGGTATTAATATAATGAACTTATACATAAGCTATTAAAAAGACACATGTGACATTAACATAGTAAAAAGTAAGTAATTAAAGCATCAAAATAAATAATTAACTTGGATTCAACTGTAGAGTTTATTCTGACAAAGTCGAATAATTCGGACTATGCCGCAGCCAGCTCTGGAAAAAAATGTTTATCAAAAGTTGTGACTTTCTAGCCCTGAAATAAAAATTATTAAACTTTTCTTTTTACTAAAAGTTGTGACTTTTAATAATAAAAGTTATTAAAAGTGTATAAGGCTACTTTTAATAATAAAAGTTATTAAAAGTGTATTAATTAGGCTATAATAATAATATAATAATATACAACGTTTATATAGCGCCCTATATAATTTGTAAAATTACTCTAAGGCGCTTTACAACATATGGGTAATAGTAATGGTTATAATTGTGAAAACAAACAACAAAGGCTTGCAATCACTTTCATACATTTAACAAGCAATGTGCACATACTTGAACAAATAAAAGGATGGTATTTACATGACGTCTTTGCAAAGATTCTAAAATGCAGACGTGAAGAGGTGAGTTTTTATGTCCCTCTTGAACTTGGCCAGGGTATTTGACTTCCTATTAGCAGATGGTAAGCTATTCCACAACGTAGCCGAAACCCTACCAAAGCATCTGTTTCTGTAGGTCACAGTACGAGATTTTGTGACACACAACAAAGATTCTGACTCCGACCGCAGTGATCTTGAGGGCTGATACAGGGTAACAAGCTCCTGTAGGTACTGAGAAGCTAGCTGTTCCATTCAGTGCCTTGTATGTGTATACCAGAATTTTGTACTGCGACCTGTATCATACAGGTAACCAGTGCAACGAATAAAGCGCAAGTGTGATGTGCTCTCTCTTTTGAGTACGAGTAACTAGTCGTGCTGCAGTGTTCTGGACCCTCTGCAGACGACTAGTTAGTTTGTCAGATATACCACAGAGCAGGGCGTTACCATAATCCAACCGAGAGGTAACAAGTGAATGCACTAAAATTTTGCATGCAATTGCAGTTAGAAACTGCTGAATACAGCCAATGTTCCTGATCTGGAAGTAACAGGATTTGGCAATAGCGTTCACTTGTTTCTCCATGTTCAGAGAACTGTCAAAGTATACCCCTAGGTTTTTAACAGCTGGAACAGTCTCAATAGTTCTGGCACCAACCTTGAGCTGGAGAGCCATTGTTTGCTGACACTAAGGGGAAAAGACGATTAATTCCGTCTTTTCCTGATTAAGTTTAAGCATGTTGGCGTTCATCCAGATACTGATATCTGTCAGACAAGCTTCCAGACTATCTGCGATAATACACCAGAGGTAGCAGACTGATTATTGGAAGAAGAAGAAGAAGAAGAAGAAGACGTTTAGATTTTTTTTTTCTTAAAGTTTAAAACTGTATTTCTGCGTTTGGTTTTGCCAGTGTTCATCAAATTCATATTCATTCTGTTCTTGAATTCACCACATTAGACAGAAGATTGTCCATAAATCAACAGATCTCTATGTGTAAACAATTTTTTTTAATATAGATCTAATCTTGAATGCAATTTGTAAATTTCAAAGTTGTGTGCACATGCAACTTTTATCACATAAATAATTTACGTCTTAATCTGTCAATGAAATGTTCTGAATTTTGCATATAGTCAGACAACAACATTACTGCATTATTTTGTTTAAACTTATGCGCGGCGGTACCTGTGAAAACTCATTCACCCCTGAAGTTTCATAATGAACTAGTCTAACCTTTGAATTGGAAGAGTTCAAATGTGTCTTCAGGAGTGAATGAGTTAATAAACTTGTCACTCTCTGTTGTGACTGAAGTGAATGCTACGGAATGACATGTTATATGAAATCTATTTATATATAGTTATATGCCATGACTGCACCTAAATGATTCTTAACATAGTCGGATAAGCATGAATCATGATTAACACATATGTAAAACACATCATTGCAATAGCTTGCATTGCTTACTTAGTAATCATGTGGTAATGATGTCGACATATAATTCTCATTTTTAGAGGAGGTAATCTTGAAGATGAGATGTGTAGTTTTATTGTACTGGTACAAGTATATATACATAAAAGGGAGATAACTTTTCACTGCTTCAAAAAATGCTTCAACAGGTGGTACATGTATGTATCATCAAATAGGAATTACCAAAACCGTACAACATATTGCCTCTACAGTAGGTTGTAGATGATTAATTAAATTAATAATATTATTAGAAAATTAATAATATTCTATTTTTTTAAACATCTATTTGTTCATTAATTATAAAAGCCCAAAACTTTTGGGAATACATATGAAATGGCACATACCAACATATGATAACTTTATAAATCTAAGATAAACAATAACAGATGCCATTAAAAAAAAAACTATACCCTCAGATAAACAAATAGACACTATTGATACAAATGTGTCCCCCTTATATTAGTATGTACATTTGTAAGCAAAGTTTAATTTTGCTGTCAGAAATGTTCTTTAATTGTTTTGAAGAGATGGTTTACATCAGACTGATCATTATTTTTAAATTCATTTCTACATCTGTAATATAAAGCACCTGTCACAGGTATCTTAATAGCTCGGTTTCTTCTTAGGCATCTAATTACCAGTATTGTATGATAAAACTTCATAAAGCAACAATTTCAAAATTACTAGTTGTAATTATTGAATTTGAAAGGGGAAACAGAAATGCTATTTAAACATTAGATGATAATAATTTGGTGTCAGTCAGACAGCTATTAAAGGTTTGATTAATTTTATAGGGAGCCCTGGAGACAGCTAGTCTTGTGTTGTTCTCGTCCCGGCTTCATTTGTCTGCCATTCATAGTGCCAACAATATACCTAGGCAAGTGCTGGAGTTCCTGGCATTTGTGGGTGGCTTTATTGATTTAACATTGTTTCTAGGGCTTTCCACACTTTCTGCATTGTTTTGGAAAGAACATACATGTATGTTAATTATTCTGCACAATTCAAAAGGGTTCCTATAGTTGAATTCAAAATTATTTTTGTATATCATATATATTAAATATTTCCGTACCACTGGGATAGTTTTACTGTAAATATTTTTTTCTGAGTATGAAATGATCTGAAAATGGTAAAATTCATAAAATTGTTTCAAAAATGTGTTAAAAGTCGATGAATTTTGATATTTTCCCAGGAGTACACTGTGATGTATTGATGATAGAGTTCCTTGGAGCTGCACCATTTCTGCAAGTCTAGCTTTAAAACAGACAAAATGGTAAGTAAAATGTACTAGATATAAATTTGTATTCAACATTTTTTTAGGTCACTTGAACTTAAGCTCAAGTGACCTATTGCTATCCATCTTCATCGTTGGTCGTGCGTTGTCCGTTAACATTTTACATTTTCAGCTTAAGCTGAAATACTGTCAACAGGATTTCATTAATATTTCATGGGAAGGTTACTGACATCTCCCTGACCAAGTGTTGTTATTTTTCGGGTCAATCAGAAATCCAATATGGCCACCACGGCCGCCATTTTGAAAAACTATTTCAAACTTAAAGTCAAGTTCTACTTGGCCGATTGAACTGAAACTTTGTAGGAATATTTGACTCATGGTCCTGACAAAGTTTTGTTATTTTTCGGGTCGATCAGGTATACAATTTGGCTGCCATGGCCGCTATTTGGAAAATACCTATTTCAAACTTAAAAACAAGTTCTAATGGGCCGATCTAACTGAAAATCGGTCTCGGAATGATCAGCTCATGGTCCTGACAAACTTAAGTTAAAGTTATGCTTAACAATTTTTTACTCAAATTGGTACATATTTCAACAACAAAAATAAATACTGTAGGACTCAGGTGACTGTTAAGGCCCATGGGCCTCTTGTTTATTAAATGAATTTTAACATGCAGAATATATATATAATCCAGTCCATGAAACACATGCTAAAGCATAACCATTCCAAATCTCTTCCAAACCTCACGCCACGTCGCATGATACACTAGTACTCTGTACCCTACGAACACGCCACACATACACTATTACACAATGATGACCGTAACATTAATGAATGCAAATTAAGGTAGTTTAGTTATATGGCATATGTATAGCTACATTGTTAGCTCACCTGCCCGAAGGTGTCGTCCGTCGTCGTCCGTCAACTTTTCCTTTAAACGACTTCTGAAGAACGGACAGGTGTAGAGCCATGATATTTGACTGAAAGCTTCCTTGGTAGGAGCCCAACAAAGTTTAAGAATGAAAATGACCTTGACCTGCTTTCAAGGTCACAGGGGTCAAATATGTCAAAGGCTTCAAACGACTTCTTCTGAAGAATTAAAAGGTATATAACCTTTATATTTTGCTGGTGGCTTCCTGGGAAAGAGCCCAATAAAGTCTGGGAATTAAAATGACCTTGACCTACTTTCAAGGTCACAGCGGTCAAATATGCAACCAACAACTTCTTCTGAGAAACCAAAAGGTATAGAATCTTTATATTTGGCTGGTGGCTTCCTTGGATAGAGCACGACAAAGTTTGAGAATGAAAATGACCTTGACCTACTTTCTAGGTGACAGTGGACAAATATGTCAAACTCTTTAAACGACTTCTTCTGAAGAACTAAAAGGTGTAGAACCTTCATATTTTGCCTTGTGGCTTCCTGAGATAGAGCCCGACAAAATTTAAGAATAATAATGACTTTGACCTTCTTCAAGGTCACAGGTGTCAAATATGTCAAAAACATCAAGCGACCTCTTCTGAAAAATCGAAAGGCATAAAATTAAAATATTTGGCTAGTGGCTTCTTGGGATAGAGCTCACCAAAGTTTGTAAATAAGAATGACCTCAACCTACTTTAAATGTCACAGAGGTCAAGAACATTTCAAAGGATTTATTCTGATGAATGGATTCATAAGATTTAGGTGGTAGCTTTTGGAATAGAGCTTACCAATTTAAGAAGGAAAATGACATTGACCTACTTACAAGGTCACAGGGGAAAATATGTCAAGCAACTTCTGAAGAATCAAAAAGCATAGAATCTTGTAATAATATTTTCCTGGTAGTTTCAACAGATGGAGCCAACAAAGTTTGCGAGGGCAATATTTTTAGTGCAATATAATATTTAATGAGAATATTTTGCTATGACTGCTTAAATATTCAGGTGAGCGATACAGGCCCTCTTGGGCCTCTTGTTATTATTATTATTATATAATTCCATGGAATTTTTGTATTTTATGCCCCAGTCACACATTCAAGGATCGGACGCCGGATTAGCCACAGATACGATTCACCATCATTCTGTAGTGGTCCTTAGCTGTCAGTAATGTATCCTGGATCAATTGTAGTAGTACTTGTATATCCGTGACAATTTTTGAACATATTCAAAAATTCACCATAGATCACACAACCGTAGCACATATTCAAAAATTCACCATAGATCACACAACCGTAGCACATCCTTAAACTGATCCTTAATAGAACGTACTAATCCTTGTTGTCCGTAATTGTCCGTATTTATTCGTAGTACATCCCCAGGCTCAAGTCGCCAAGGATCAGTACGGCTAGTTGCGGTGAACTATGTACTTGTACTAACCGGTACTAAAATTAAAATTAAGTTGTGGAATGAACACCCGAGCGTAGCAGTTTGTAAACAGATTGCTTACTGTGTCATTCTGTACTAAACCGTACCGAACCGTAGCAATCCGTATCACTCTCCATTGTCAACTAGCCCCTATATGTAGTCAAACTGTGGTGCATCCGTAGCGGACCACAGATATAGACTATTCCGGGATCATCCGTGAGTTTCCATCCATAGTGGATCCGGCGCAACGATCCATGAATGTGTAACCGGGGCATTAAAGAAGAAATATATATTTTAAGGTTACATTCCGGTTGTACTTTTGTCATCATTATTGGCACTGACAGTTATTGTGTAACCATAACCCTATAGAGCTGCCAGTAATCAGCATAAATGATTATAGGAAACCTGAGATTGGCTGTAGTTCAAGTACAGATATAGATACAAGTCTAGATCTAAGCACATCACCAATATCATATTCATGCTTTGCTAATGTATGTAACTGTTGGGGGATGGGAAATTATTTGAGACCTTTAAAACAATGTTTTAACTGTGTAATCTCTCTCTATATATAGTAGGTATCATAATTTTGCCATTATATAACCACTCCAAATGTGAATAACTCGTTGTACATGACATCATGTACCGTATGGCACAATAAAAGGGGATTACATCTATTTTGGTAAAATATGTGAAACCTGATCCTTTTTCCTCTCAGGACCTGGGACAAGTATAAAGAATAATCTTAATGTCATTTCAAATTCTGGTTACACTAATGTCTATACCAATCCATTTTGGTGTTTTATGCTTATTCTGGTAATTGTTTGATGATTGATATAAGTTCATAGAAGCATTATTGATACAGGTCCCATGAGCCTCTTGCTTTTGGTGCACTATTACTGATTAGGTTGCAGCTACGTGTGATCTTACATGTGAGTTTACCCTGACCTACAGCTGAACAGAGGCTATGTGTACATTGTTTCTGACACTCAGAAACAAAGGTGGGACATTATAAGACACCTAATTAATTCTGTTTGTCCTGTACACATCAGATAAACTGCTAGTGATAGCTGTTATCAAAGAGGTAAACAACAAGTGGACGTTAAGTTATTTGTGGAATTGGATACTTGGAGTCTCAATACATATGTGTGTGTAAGAGAAGTGTGATTCACTTACACAGGAAGTTGGGTCATGTTGGCTTATAAATTACGCAATCAACATGTGTCTGTGAAACAGAGTGAAAGTAGAAGTCGGCTGTGAGTAAGATTTTATTTCTTTATCACTGATGGTTTTAAAATTTCTTTTGAATGTAATGTCAAAGTGATGTTAAAATATTGAAGTTGAATGTCAGTGTTTAAAACAATGTAATACAGTTAAAATATTGATGTTGAATGTCAGTGTTTAAAACAATGTAATACAGTTAAAATGTCGATGTTGAATGTCAGTGTTTAAAACAATGTAATACAGTTAAAATATCGATGTTGAATGTCAGCGCTCCAAGTCAATATCGGTTTTTATCTGTGGAAACGTGATGCATTCCTGGTCAATCACTTGTCGGGAATAATATGAAAAAATAATAGATAAAATTATTTTTTGTACATCTACTCTATGAGAGAGGGATATACTTGTATGTGTCGTGTATGTCCTGCCATCTGTGATAACTGTTTAAAATATGTATGTGAACAGGATGTATAAAACGTGTTTATAATGCTAAATATGTATGTGAACAGGATGTATAAAACGTGTTTATAATGCTAAATATGTAATTCTATAGTGTGGTATTGCAGTGCAAATATATAAAGGAGAGTTTTACAACTTCTGTCATTTTCTATATTTGTTTGATCTCCAGTCGGACGGAATAGCCAACAAGTTCCAGTTACCGGAGCGGCAAGCAAAGGTGAACCAGCTGATCAGGAGGATGGACCACACAGAGGGTCCCCGGGAACATGTCGCTGAGGCCCAATACTGTATCTGTCGCTCTTCTGACTGTAGTCGCTTTATGATGTAAGTCAGCATAACACATCATCCACAGGGACTTGACACGTTCCTATGACCCAGAATGAAAAAAAATACAATAATAAGTGATCTGGGGTCGGACCATGGAGTATATTTTTCATTCTGGGTCATAGGAACGTGTCAAGTCCCTGTGACATATATATAATCTGTCCCTTCAATGACTGCTGTCCCTACATGATGAGAGATACAAAATTATGCTACTAATATCCCTTTATATGCCCTTGCCTTTTGACAGCAAGTGTATCCAGATATGAAAAAAACATGTATTTCGAAAATCCCATGATCTTATTTAAACATATATTAAAACAAATTATTCCATTCTGATACTAAATGCCACTGGAAGTGATGCCAGAAAAAAGAATGCAGCCTTGAAATCCTTTCTTGATAAATAACTGAAATACCAGACCTTAGAACCTGTTGCTGATTAGGTGGTCATGAGTTACATTAATTTTAGAAATGAATTATTTGATTTTGGCCATTCCCCAAATGATAGACTTGGTAGGAGCCCAACAAAGTTTGTGAATAAAAATGACCTTGACCTACTTTCAAGGTCACAGGGGTAAAATATTTCAAACTCTTTAAACGACTTCTCCTGAAGAACTAATAGGTATAGAATCTTTATATTTGTCTGGTGGCTTCCTGGAATAGAGCCTGACAAAGTTTGAGAAAGAAAATGACCTTGACCTACGTTCAAGGTCACAGCAGTCAACTATGTCAAACTCTTTTGAACGACTTCTCCTGAAGAACCAAATGGTATAGAATCTTTATATTTGGCTGGGCTTCCAGGGCTAGAGCCCGACAAAGTTTGAGAATGAAAATGACCTTGACCGGATTACAAAGTCACAGGAGTCAAATATGTCAAACTCTTTAAATGACTTCTTCTGAAGAACCAAAAGGAATAAAATCTTTATATTTGGCTAGTGGCTTCCTGGGATAGAGCCCAACAAAGTTTGGGAATGAAAATGACTTTAATCTCTTTTCAAGGTCACAGCAAATATGTCAAACACTTCAACAGACTTCTTCTGAAGAACTAAAAGGTATAATATCTTCAAAATTGGCCGGTGGCTTCCTTGGATAGAGCCCGACAAAGTTTGAGATGAAAATTACCTTGACCTACTTTCAATTGCAAGGTCATAGTGGTCAAATATGTCAAACTCTTTAAACAACTTCTTCTGAAGAACTAAAAGGTGTAGAACCTTCATATGTGCCTTGTGGCTTCCTGAGATAGAGCCTGACAAAGTTTGAGAATGAAAATGAGTTTGACTTTCTTCAAGGTCACAGGTGTCAAATATGTCAAAAACATCAAGAGACTTCTTCTGAAAAAAATTGAAAGGCATAAAATTATAATATTTGGCTAGTGGCTTCTTGGGATAGAGCTCACCAAAGTTTGCAAATTAAAATGACCTCAACCTACTTTAAATGTCACACAGGTCAAGAACATTTCAAAGGACTTGTTCTCAAGAACCAAAAGGAATGGATTCAAAAGATTTGGCTGGTAGCTTCTTGGGATAGAGCTATAAAAGTTTGAGAAGGAAAATGAAGTGACATACTTACAAGGTCACAGCGGAAAATATGTCAAACAGCTTTTGAAGAAGAACGATGGCCAAAAAGCATAAAATCTTATAATAATATTTGACTAGTAGTTTCGACAGATGGAGCCGACAAAGTTTGCAAGTTACAAATTTGTAGTACAATGCAATATTTAATGAGAATATTTGCTTATTCAGGTGAGCAATACAGGCCCTCTTGGGCCTCTTGTTATAATCTAATGAAAACGACAATACAAAAATAAATGACATTGTTTTCCAATACTTCTGATTGGTTTAGTAGCTCAGAAGTTACGAATCAATGTTGTGTCTTGAGCAAAATCCTTTTGTTTTTATCAGAAATGAATATACATGTATATGACCTTATTTTAACCATTTCAGCTATGAGCTAAAATGTGTTGTCTGTGATTTCAAATTCAATTTCATAATCACTGTAATTATTTTGGGGGCTTTTCCTTCAAGAAAAAACCCAGATTTAACTAAGTGTATGTCAACTGTGAGGAGTGGTACCATGGTGACTGTATAGGATGTGACAAACTTGTATCTATATTTACAGAGGGTGTGACAACTCTGAGGAGTGGTACCATGGTGACTGTATAGGATGTGACAAACGTGTATTTATATTTACAGAGGGTGTGACAACTGTGAGGAGTGGTACCATGGTGACTGTATAGGAGTCACACAGCTAGATGCCAGGTCAATCAAACAGTTCTTCTGTGAGATGTGTCGAGGTCAGTACAGATACAAAAGTTGACCAATCATAACTGAATTATCTTTAGGTCGTATTTACATGTATTTGGCATATAAAATGTTTAGGTGGTCAGTTCTAACAAGTTATTCTTCATTACTTGATTTTTAAATAGCATAAAATTGTAATTGCTAGATAATTTTACTATGTAATCAGTGAGAATTAAGAATTTATTATGAACATAAAGAAAATCTTCATTGGAAACATTCCATTGCTTGAAGCTTAATGGAATCAAGATAATAATAATAAATGGACAATTTTCTCTTAAATTAAGTTCAAATAATAATTTGTACAAGGATAAAAAACCCAGGTAAAACTAATAACAATGCTGATGAGATCATGCCAGTCCAATCTCTGATTTAATGACCTCAATTATAAGCTTCCCAGTATGCTGTACTTAATTCTCCTGTGAAATGAGATTTCAATCCTATTTACTCCAATAAATGTCAAATTATAGTCAGACTTTGTTTCAACTGTTGTATTGATTTCTTAATTACAGAGCAAAATCCCAGCCTTGATATCAAGTATAAATCCAAGAAGAAAAAAGAAAATAAAGAGAAGTTCACCTCTCACCCAGCCGCAGAAAGAGAAGGTCTAAGACAGGAATGGAAATACAGTGAAAAGGTGATTAATGTCCTCACTCAAATGATGTTGGCCGAGGAAGGGGAGGAAACTGATGGGCTGTGGGGGGGAAAGTCAGGTGGAGGAGATATTTGATAGGGGCTGGGAAAGGGTAGACCTCATATGTGGCTTTATAAATAGAAGAACAAGTGATGGGGACCGGGGAAGGGGAGACAGTTTGTAAGGGATGGCGAAGCAGAGACAGGAAGTGATGGAAGTAGGGAATCGGAGAAAAGCATAGAAAGGTAATACAGATGTTGGTAGCTTGGGTAGGGGAGACAACCTAATGTGGTATGGGCTTGAGAAGCTGAGAAAGGTGATGAGGATGGGGAAGAGCAACAGTTGATGGAAGCTTGAATGGGGCTGGAGAATAGGTAACAGGTTTAGGGAGCTAGGAAAGAGAGACATGTATTGGGGTTGTGAAAGGGGACACAGATTATATTGTTTGGGAAATTAGGAAACCGATGGTATGAGATGGGAAAGTTGATACAGATGAAAAGGCTGGGGAAGAGGAGACATATGATAGGAGCTGGGAAAGGGAGACAAGTATTGCATCTGGGAAAGGGGAGACAAGTGATAAGATGCTAGAAGTGGTAACGGTGGGGAAGAGAGATAAGTGATACAGACAGTAAGAGAGCATGGGGTGGAACAAAGTATATGTTATACAAGTCTAATGAATGATGTCTAAAGAAATAATGTTGTCGTTTACCTGCAAATTTGGCCTGTGCAGGAAAAATCCAGAAAAAAGTCTTCAAGGCGATGTGGGGAATGTAAAGCCTGTCATCGAACCGAGGACTGTGGACGGTGTGACTTCTGTAAGGTAAGGTTGTCTGTAGCATCATACTGGTTGTCATGACGTCATAAACGATGCCATATAGGTTGTCAGTAATGTCATGAAGATATCTGCATCAACAGCTGAATATCCAGGTCTAAAACTAAATTGAGCATCTGATATTACATTCATTTCAATGTGTCATTTCACTAATCTCTCATTCAATCAGTCAAACTTGCATTTCCAGGTTTTTCGATCTCGGTAATGTAGTTTGTCCCTAGAAATTTGTTTCCCTTTATATATAAAATATTTTACTAATTAAGAGCCCTGGGGGCTTAGCATTTTGGAAAACTAGAGCAATTGCAGAACCTCCAAATTTCTCAAAGAGAAATAACATAACAGACAATATTGTCCAATAAGTTTTGAATAGTAAAGGAATAGGACTCTTGGACCAGAAAAGGGATAGGACTTTTGTATATAACACAAATTTTATATTGCAGATTTCTTGTGCCACACAGCAGCAATTCAACCATGATCCTTAAAAATACATTGAGGTTTCTTTTTTTCAGGATATGAGAAAATTTGGTGGTCCGAACAAAATACGTCAAAAATGCAGGTTGCGGCAGTGCCTAAATTTTGTAAGTTGTAATTATTTTTCTGCATTGTTCTTTTAGATATTTTTTATGTTCATTATTTTCATTTTAATGAATGGCAAATTCTAAATGTTCCCTTTGAGTAAGTAAAATGTTTTTGTTTTGCAAGAATTTATGTTGAACTCAAAAGCCAAGGTCATGGTCAGGAATATTTGTGATGTCAATGAGATGTCTGTTTTCTTGATCTTCAAGTTCTTTAACCTTCGTCTGTTTGATATTTAACACAACAGACATTAGTTATACCATTTTTAGTAGTCATTAAATAATTATGAAAAAAAAAATTGAATAATTCTTTAATTACAAATTTTGACTGCTGTATACGTAGTACTAAGTAGCTGGTCAACGCACAACAGAATAGCTTCTAGAAATTATATAAAGCAACTTTGAATAAAATATAACTTTGTGAGTATCATTACATTTCATAAATATTGTATAATAGAACCAGTAATATATTTGACAAAGGCATAATTGTAACAGAGAACCTTTTTTTTTTCCAGTGCCGTTTTCGTAAGAATCAAGGGGTAAGCGTTTAAAGTTAGGTTGTGCTGCGTTTTGTGTGCAACTAGAAGTGAGCACTTAAATATGTATTACCGTATATCAGTTTGATATAAGATCGATAGTCAGCACACTTGTCCAGTATAGGACTGAAGGGTGTGTTTGACAGTGTTTTAACTTGGTTGTGCTGTTGATTGTTAATTAATTAACTTGTTTTCTGACCAATGACTTCAAATTCTCTTTCACTTGTTATAAAAAATATTGCTTTTCTGTGTCTCAAAAGATTATTTATTGAAATCGAATGATATAAAATAAGTTAGCATTGTAGCTGAAGAGATTGACATGTTGACAATGATGACTATTTAAAAACAAAACAAATGCCATTGAAATATTCATTTTTATGTTTTAATGAAAAAATATTAATGGAACTGATAAACTGATAAATATTCCTGTATATAAGTTTGTGTAGTTTTGATATTCAATTTCTTTAATGTATTGTATGGGATACATCATGATCAGTTACTGTATAAACTACTATTTTGCTACAGATAGATTCATTGCAAGAGAGTATAACACAGTTTGTAATACAAGCCTACTAAATCACTCTTGAAAAGAAAAAATACTAATAAATAATAATCATATAAATCACCAACCATCAACCAACACTATAAACGTAGAGGGGTAAGGAGGGAAGTATAAATCACTAGGTTTATGTCTCTAAGACAGGGACATCCTAGGTCTTACTTCAGACATAACATCAGCTGCTTCTGTGTGATTTCTGTTTGTTCGTTTTCCAGTTGACATGTTATATCCTAACTTTATGTTTGGTTTCACATGTTATGATTTGGTGGTTTTATTCATGCATGTGTATTTTTTATTTTTTTCCTGAAATTAGTTTACATGGTTTTTATATGCAGATTAAATGTCCTGTTCAAAGAAAAACACCAAAAGATGTTTCTTTGTCAGGCTTGCTTTGCTTTCTCTTTCCTTTGTTTCATTTTATTTAATTTCTTTTTTCAAGGATTTCATATTATTTTAATTGGATATTATCACTTCCTTTTAAAACATGTACACCCTATGACCCTACAAATTTGGGAGTATATAGCAGGCATTCATACATTTGTCTGAGCATCATTATCCTCTAATAAAATAAAACCAGAAACTTGACAGATATGATTATCATGACCAAGATATGTAATGTCTACCTCTGTCGGGCCCTTACTGTTAATGTCAAGGTCAGGGCTATGATTATCATGACCAAGGTATGTAATGTCTACCTCTGCCAGGCCCTTACTGTAAAGGTCAAGGTTAGGGCAATGCTTATCATGACCAAGCTATGTAATGTCTACCTCTGTCCAGCCCTTACTGTAAAGGTCAAGGTTAGGGCAATGCTTATCATGACCAAGCTATGTAATGTCTACCTCTGTCCAGCCCTTACTGTAAAGGTCAAGTTCAGGGCAATGATTATCATGACCAAGATATGTAATGTCTACCTCTGTCCAGCCCTTACTGTAAAGGTCAAGGTCAGGGCAATGATTATCATGACCAAGATATGTAATGTCTACCTCTGTCAGGCCCTTACTGTAAAGGTCAAGGTCAGGGCAGAGGATCAAAGGACAACATTTATTGTTTTGATTTTCTGGACCCTTATTTCTTTTTGCTGTCACATTGACCTATGAAACTTCACATGTAATGTTGATCATCACCAGAGTGAAAGTGTCAATATTGACACTCTTTAGGTTGAGGTCAAGGACATGACAAGGGGGTCAAAGGTCAAACTAATACTCATACTTATTTTGATCATCTCTCCTTCAGTCATCTTCCTATATTGGTATATACATTAAAGCTACTGTAAAATCAAACTGTATATAAACAGTGGTACTTCTGGATTCTGATGCATAGTTAATCTCTGGAAATATAATGACCTTGATTTTATTGTACTGCAAGTACTGTGCACTCTTGTGACACAAGCAGAATAAGCAAGGAATATTAAGAATTTTGAGAGAAATTCTGCTTTTCATTCAACTGTTTCGAAATACGACATAACTCAATTTTGAAATTATATTTTCATTGTGATATTTCCTACCTACATGTACCCATGGTTGTAGGGAAGAGAACAGTTTATACAAGAGCACAGCTTGTGGTTTGTAGATATCTGTACAGGATATATATCTTCTATGTATAACTGTAACTCCATCTAACCTATTATTTGGAATTTCTGTATTTCCACTATTAACGTTTGTACTTGTGTGTGATAGAGTCTTGATTTTCTCACAGTCATATACATGTATCAGATATAATTGACTTCCTAATTTACACATTTGTAGGTTTGAAATTTAATGGATGAAAATATGACTATGAAACACCTTTGCGCTTAAGTGATTCAGTTGTGTATGTTAAGTTTTATCCTTGGCATGCTGTCACGGTCTATACAGTACAGGGATTAAAGCAGGCATTGACAGTGGCCCATGTATGCACATTTAGAATGAAATGGCCAATAACAGTGTGAAAAAAATAGTATTTTCAATAATTTATAGTAACTTGCCTATTGAAATGGCTCATAGTTTGATTTAGCCATCCAAACTACTGCAGTAGAATATATATCCATAAATGTCACTAACTTGTTATGAAGAAATGAATATATAAAATTAACACTGAAAACTTTTAATTCGATGAACAATTTAAACAATTGATACATATACATTAAATGATTTCTCTTGTGCACAATCTAGAAGATGCTTTGTAAAGTAATTATAATAACTTTAAGGGATATTTGGTTAAAGTTGTGACATTGAGCAAAAGTGATTTTCTTTGTTGCTTCCGTAATTTATTATCTACCTTTTTTCCGGAACAGGGTTTGAATATGTCGGTGAAGAAGCCTGAGAAATCACAACGCACTGTTACGTCAGAAACAGAATCTATGAGAACCAGCTTTTCTGGGTGAGATGTTATGTGAGGTTGACAAATCCATAGAACAGCATATTGTACACATGTTAGATTTGATAAATCAAAGAGCAAGGAAATTATAAGCAGCCTTGATAATCCAGTGTCCTTCATTCCCATTAGATAAGCAAGCCAACGTCATCTTCAGTAAATAATCCAGTCACTTTCATTTTCAGTAGATAATCCAGCACCCTTACACTTCCAGCTGCCATTTTTACCAGCAGATAATCCATTTCCGGTATTTCTATAGCAAGTGGAGAATCCAGACATCTTCATCTCCTGTAGATTATCTGTCACCTTCATTTCCAGAAGTAACCTATTCTCCTTATTGCCAGTAGATAATTCAGACATTTTTATTTCCAGTGTATAATCCAGTTGCCTTTGTTTGCAGCAAAAGAAAAATTCTATATAGAAAATAGGTCAATTTATTCTCCAAAAGCACTGGCTAAAAATCGCTTGATAGTGAGAAAAAACAACAGATTAGTCTTTGCAGAGATTTAATATTATTATAAATGGCGCTCCTCTGGCTATTGATAATTATGATATTAAAATAACATACCAACAAAATGTGATAAACAACTTATTTGTTATGACAAACATTGTTATGATTTTTTTCTCATATTACAGACATTTTTCAGAAGATGAAGATGAGTTCATGGATTTTGATGAAGATGGAGGTACCTCGGAAAATGTAGAAAAACCTTCAAAGGTGAAAACTGATGCAACATTTTAGTGGGGGGGGG